CTATAGCATCTTTTTGAAATGAGTTCTATATAGTACCCAAAAGGGTTCTACAATGATCACGATGTCAAGCTTGTAACAATAGAAGAACCTTTTAACACAGAATGACAGAACCACACAGAAACAAATCCAACATACATGCTAGTATTTGGCTAATGGTTCTACAATAAAAATAACAGTAATAATGTATTATTGGAACAACTAAAAAAAAAAATCACCTGAAGTGAAATCAAACATGATCTCAGTAGTAGATTCAGCTGACCAAGGTCCATTATCCTGCAAATGAGCAAACAGAACTCTTTACTTTACTTTTTCTTTACTTTAGTCTGAATTTATTATTTTTTAACTATTTAGTGATAAACACTTGTTTTTACCTCAGTCTGTGGGAGTCGCGTTTGCATTCCGATGCTGGAGGAACACTGACCGCCTCAGGAACGTTAATCATTTATTTTCCACCTTTATTCCGACAGTCCCGCCCCTCCTGCGCTGCAATTGGCTAGTAGTTCATATTTACAGACCGTCCGCCGTTACAAGCCAATCACAGCGCAGCAGGCGGAAAACCCTATCCAATGGTAGCTTAGGAAGCGAAATCCTACTAGCCAATCATAGCGCAGGGGGCGGGGTTTCTCCCAAAACAGGTAGAAAACAGAATCCCCAGCCCAGCAGGAGTTGACCGTTGGTGTTCTGTGGTCGTCAGGCAGGCGCGCGCGTAGCGACAGGGCGCCTGAGAATCCGCGCCAACCGATAACCCGCGCGCGGGGCAGAACTCAGAGCTCGCGCGGAATATCAGAGTACATATAAAACAATTAATAAAGGAGAATTTATAAGAAATAACAATTAATAAATACATAAGAAATGAAAAGAATAATGATATATGAGATAAGGTAGAGGTAAATAAACATAACCAAACAAATAAGAATAAAAAAGATGGTTCTTCAAGGGTTCTTTAGTAAACACAATGGCTCTATTTACAACCATCTATATAGAACCATTTGCTTACTTCTACACAGCACCGGAAAAGGTTCTGCTATTGTATACAAGCTTGAAGAATCTGAAGAACGATTTTACCAGGCAGAGTATAGAACCACTGCCTTTACTAAAGAACCCTTGAAGAACCACTTTTTAAGAGTGTAGAAATAAACAGGAACAGAAAAGGCAGCGGCTGCTGTGACTCGAGTCATTACTTCATTGCATTAACAGCACTTTTACTTCAGTGTGGTATCAAGCTCCTCAGCTGTGGTGTGATGTGGAAGTTAAAGGGGACTTGCACCATTTTTTTCAAATTTTTTTGCATAATTCAGTGTTTGAGATGTAAACAGAGTGATTCAGAGAGGTTTGTGTGAAATTGTTCAGATTTCTTTACAGTGGTGGTGATAGGAACCAGGGGTCGCCATGACTACAACACAAATACAGCCATTTTATTTACCATCCAAAACCACCAGTGAACCTACAGGAGTGTTTTATATGGAATGTTGATGATGATAGAAAATAGTAAAAATCTGCAAACAAAATCTATTTTGCCTTACAACACCCTGCATGTATCCTTCCACCATGAATGGATTTGAAAACTATTTTAGGCCAAAATTTCATCTTTAATCTATAGTAAAACAATGTCTCAGACATCAGGCAGTGCATTCATAAAATATTCATGTAAGAACTTCCTGCAAGGGAACTTTTAGAGGTGGACACCTCGTTCCTATCAGCATCACTGTGAACAATTTTGACTTCCCCTTTAAGTCATTTAAGAGTGAATAATATTTTTGGAGTGCGGTGGAACATTAAGACAGCAATAAAATGTTGAGGTTTCTTTTGAGGAAATAAATAAATCTATAAAAAGAATCTGTGGCATGGTGTGTAATGGCACTCTGGCCATACTGGGTTTGGGTTAGGAGTGCGAATCACACCAGGCCCTACGCTATGATATCGTCAAGATACCTGAGCCACAATATGATTCTGATGAAATATTTAAAGATTTGTGATATGCTGTCTGTTTTTTGTTTGATAAAGTTTACACTATAGAGGTGGACGATATGGCAAAAATATAATATTGAGATAGATCAAAACATGATACAGGATGTCACAATGTTTATTTTTTGAGACATCTGATCAGTTAGAACAGTGAAAAAAGAACCAGCAGTGCTACATTTTAAAAAATACTATCAAAAACTGTGAACACAATGATTTTAATCAATATTTGCCACTAAATCCAGTTAAAATTCTGCTCTCTTTGTAATATAACATGCATTTGCTCAGTGTCTGACGATATACACGATTTGTTCAGAAAAGCATATTGTATAGTACTGTGACATAATTAACCTCGATAATTATTATACATACATACATACACACACACACACATATATATATATATATATAATATATATATATATATATATATATATATATATATATATATATATATAGTCATACTTCCCAGCCCTAATTTATAATAACATACAAATCCATACAATAGTTAGTGAGTCAATGTGTGTCAATGTATTCACTTAGGCATATCCAAACTTCTCCTTGATGAAGCCCAGTATTATTTGTAGCTAATATCTGGTAACCTGGCATCAAATACTTAATCAAATTAAATTAAAAGTTTGCTGGTAATGGAATCTAACAAATCCATGTGATGGCTGTGAGCATCGGAGAGAAAGCAGGAACAAACATTACTGTGTTTAATGTTTGTTTGCATTGTTTCTAATGTATTATTTCTGTTACAAGCAAAAACACACATACTGTCAGGATAAATGGTTTAAAACAATGTGTGTAGGTGTGAGACTTTCACACAGTACTGCAATTAGCAGCTTTTATTTGTAAAGTTCAAAAACAACATTTGTAACAGACGTTCATCTTCCGTATTTAACGAATGTTTGTCTCCAGAGAAGTTCACGATGGCAGGTTAATGTAATGTTAAAAGCCTCACCCAGTGACTCTTGGTATACTAGGGTTCTTTAAGTGTTCATGGCTCTATATAGCTCTATTTTCTTTACTAAAGAACCCTTGGAGAACCATCATTTTTATTCTTTTATGATTTGGCAACATATGTACACAGCAAAAACACTGTTTACAGATTATTTCATATACACCAAGTCCCATAGTGCCATCTCTTATCAGAACATTTCCCAAATCCAGCCCTGGAAACCTCTGAACTTCAAACACTGACTCAGTTCAGAATTAATTGGGTAACTAGTTTTCTCATGAGGCCAGATGTGACCTCGTAATGAGAACATCTGGAAAAAAAAAACATTAGGAATAGACCCTTGGAGTTGTGCGCCATGCTATATTTAACTTCAAGCCCATATTAGGAACTCTGGGTCTAAGCTGTTTTTCTCTATGCAAAAAATAAAGGAGATCTTCGAGAAGCACTGCTAGTGCGGCCTGTGGTGAACGAAAACCTGATACATTTTGTCCTACATACATTTTCTCTCTGAATGTTCCCAGATTTTCTGAATTAACGAGCTGAAATATGAATATTGCTACATGCAAGCTAACACATCTGCGCACTGAAGTGATATCAGAAGAGTGACCTCTCCAAAATACCCCAAACCAACCAGCAATCTCTGTCCAGTGAGGCAGTTTAGAGGCTTTGGCAGTAATAGAGCACATTAGGAGTAGCTTGTGTTGGTATATCATAGTTTTTAAGTTTAATAGTAGATTTAATTTTATGCAAGGGCATTTCAGTGCGCAGGAGCTCGCTGTTAGCACGGATATGGCATTATTCATATATTTACTGCTAAATTACCTCATAATTCAGGATCCAGTGACATTCAGAGGAAAAATGTACACAGGACAAATTCAGGTTTATGTTCACCACAAGGCGCGAGAGAGGAAATTTTAGAATTCCTAAAGTAGGCACTACAGCAACTACAGACTGATGCACAACGTCAGACACCTGTTTTCTGCTAAATGTTGGGGAAACATAAGCTGTGTTCCAATTCAGGGGCTGCAACCAGCCAACATATCCCGAGGTTCATTGCGTGCCCGTGAGGATTCGAGAACAGGAGAACCAGATATTAAAAGTGCACAAGCTAGAGAAAGTTGGGCTGGAGTTTTAGAGGGGAGCGTTCCCTTATTGGCACTATAGCTTGCGCAGCACCAAAAGTGTAACTTGTTGTCTCCAGACATGAGCTTGTATCTGCAGACATTACACCATAGCAGGGCTGCACGATATGGACAAAATACCATAGTGTGATTATATCGCTGTATACTGGGATTGTAGTATGTCTTGCAATATATCACAGCTATACTGGTAAATCAATAATGTGACATGGTTAAAGACGGGTCTGCATCATTATAACCAAAATAATTTATTTTTGTTGGGTTACATGAATATCTTTATTCATCAAAACAGAAACTCATCCGTAACTGTGACTAGTGAAGATGATCACAGCACACAGTAAACAAACACTGATTGGTTGGAGAGCTCATTTGCATATTGCAGCCTTCTGTAATATCACTATTTCATTGCAGAATTGCATAACAAGTAATTAACAATATATTCTGTAGCCCTAAACCATTGTGGGATGGTTTCATTCACACTACCCATGCTCCACCCACACGTGTTTTTTCATGGCTACTGTTGCCAGGCTGGGCAAAATTTACAGAATGCTGGTAAAAATCCCATTCAGCCTAATGAGAAACTGTAGTACAGACTCAGTTTATATCACAATACCTACATTTAGAGCCAGTTGTTCATTCAACCTAATGAGAAACTGTAGAGATCTTTGTTTGAGTTATTATATGACGTTGACCCCGCATTGTGAGATGCTAAGATAACCAGCTGCACTGTGTTATTGTAGCTTTTTAAAACAAAGCAGATTGGAAAATTAGCCACCTTGCAAACGGTAGCTCAATCACATGACAAAAAAAAGAACCCCAGTCTATCTTAAAGGTGTGAGCTATACAATAAACATAATTTGAATTGAATAACTGACTCTAAATGTAGGTATTGTGATATAAACTAAGTCTGTACTACAGTTTCTCATTAGGCTGAATAGGATTTTGACCAGCATTCTGTAAAGCTTGACGAACCTAGCAACAGTACATATGAATGAGGCATTTGTGGGCGGAGCTTGGGCAGCTCAGTTAGTATAAGGCTGGAACTGGGGTCCATATGCTTGTTAAGGAGCTTCACCGAAGTACATTCTCTGATTTAATCAGCTCTATGATCATCTGTATGGTCTTCTCATCTGAGGAGAGAGCAGAAACACAAAGTCACTCTCAAAACTGTCTACTCAGAGAAAAGAGAGAGAGAGAAAGAAAGAGAAAGAGAGAGAGAGAGAGAGAAAGAGAGACAGAGAGAGGGGGAGAGAGAAAGGAGTTGGTGGAGAGTTTGAAAAGGAGCTGTTGTGTTGTTAAAATGTGAAATACCTTCCAGATTCATTCGGGGGTTGGCCAGTTTCCTCTCCAGCAGCGAGTCGATGAGTTTGCGGAGGTGTTTAAAGATCACCCCAATTCTGACTGGAGCCTTCAAGGAGAAATAAACACAGTCACTCTTCACTGTATCAGCTAAAGACAAGGCAAGTTCATTTATATAGCACCTTTCACACACTGCTGGCATTCAAAGTGCTTTACAAATGAGAAAATAGTCATTTTAAAAGTAAAGAAGAATAGAAATTAAAACATGATTGAACATGATAAAACAACAGATTTAAAAGAGAAACTCATTCAATTAAAAATCAAATTAGAAATTAAATTTGGATAATTAAGAATTAAATAAAAATAAAAAAAAGTACATTTGGATATTAAAGTGCCATTACAGAGGAATACAAAGATATGTGGAGAAATTGTGTGGAAAGCGCAGATTCTAAACTTTCAATCTGTACAACATTTGTGTTTGTAAAAAGAAAAGGAGATATTTTATTATTATTTGAATTAGATGGAAAGTTGTGTAAAGTGTCTGTCATCTTTTTAAGGTCGAAAATAAACAGAAGTACAGAAGTGAGGATTCAAATCTGTCAACACAGAATGCAAATTGAATGTAAATGTAACTCCCTACATAATTAACTATGAAATTCATTATGTAAAATGTATTTAAAGTAGGGATGTAAATTTTGGCAACCGACAGTTGTTAGTGATAAACCGTTACCTGACAGAATTAAAATCACGAACATGAAAAACATCTAACACAGCACTGCGGTTTATTTAAAGACTTTCCGTTTTACTGAATATACCGCGCAACAGACATGACAGTAACATAATGCAGTCACATCTGTACATTCTTAAAAATGATGGTGCTTCAAGGGTTCTTTAGTGAAGAAAATGGTTCTATATAGCACCTTGAACACTCTAGGGTCAAGAACCCTTTGCATGATTCGTGAAAGCGTTCTTCAGACTGATGGAGAATGTGCTGTAAATGGTTCTATATAGAACCTTTTTGAAGAGGAGCTCTTTATTAGAGTACCAAAAGGGTTCTTCTATTGTTACAAGCGTGTGAAGAACCATTTAACAATGTATAGAATCATTTAAACACACCAAGTGTTCCTTGAGTGTTCATGGTACCATATAGAACCATTTTCTTTACTAAAGAACCCTTCAAGAACCTTTTAAGTGTGTAGGCTGAAGCCAAAGAGCAGAGCAGAGTCAGCTGTCGCCCACATTAACCGTGTGTCACTGTGCTGTAAACCACGTTTAGGATGGTTTGTTCTCTGCTGTATCCCTTCAGTAACAGCTCTGCTGCTCTCAGTTATAGTTAAGATGAGTCAGGGAGCAGAGAGTTGAAGTCAAGCATTACCAAGTTAGGCTACTGGAGCAAGTTGCACTCTTGCGCCCTCATGTGTACAATTAAAAAATGGTCCTCAAGTTAAATGAAATACCCACCTATTTAAATATTAATTTTACTGGAAATTAAATCAACTTTTTAACAGCAAGCATTGGTTGAAAATTTATTTATTTGTTGGTTAATGGTTAATGAGTTAATCAGTAATATCTCTACACTCTTTAAAAAGATAGTGCTTTAACGGTTCTTTAGTAAAGAAAATTGTTCTGTATAGAACCATGAACACTCAAAGAACCCTTTGTATGATAAGAAAATTTCGTAACTGCATTTTATTATTTTTATCATTAATATTATTATTTTATTTATTTTTTACCAGCTATGCTTAAAATTGTGCAAATATGTCATAATGAACAGGCAGCAAATTAGTCATTTTTAATTTTTTACATTTTTTTACTTTTTCCTTCTGTTATGAAGGTATAATTTCAGAGAAACACAATTTTGGTGAAGGTGTTTATGTTCTAACCTGAAAGTGAATCCATCCATCCACAGAAATCAGTCTCTCACGATGCTGGACGTCAATGTCTCCCCCAAACAGCAGGATGGGGAACGGGGAGATGAGGGTGGTGTCCCGCAGATAAACCTTTGAATACTTCACCTGAGGGAGAAAATACAGAAACATTAGAATGCATCTCAAATTAAACTTATTTAATATTATATTTACAAAGAAACAAACCCTTCCAATAGTTAAACAGTCAGAAAAGTTTTGCTAAAGTTATGCTAATTAATTTAAATGTATTATAATTCTGCTTATTTTCAGAACTGTTTTGTAATTGATGTAGTTTATACTTCCTTTACTTGTAATGATCTAAGATGATCTTGAGGTTCTTTTTTTGTTCTGCTCTGCTCTGATCCTCACCTTCTCCTGGTAAAGCAGCCAGCCGTGGGTCTGCAGGTTGCGGTTGACGGAGGACGGGTGGACCTGAGCTTTGCCCTGTGCCGTCTCCACCGTGCAGGCCACACGCTCCTGCAGGTCCACAGAGGGGGTGTAGATCATCCGGCCCACGCTGTCGTAAAGGCCAGCAGTCAGAACCGATGCCAGAATCGGGACGTCCTGCTTGGAGAGCGAGCCTGGACCTTTGTTTTTGGCACGGATCTGCGCGGTTCTGCTGAAGCCGGTCTGCTCCACCATCCGGATCAGCTCCTGCTTCACGTTCTGAGGGAGGAAACCACCCACAACAACAAGGTAAAAAAAAAAGTCACGGCACGCATGCCCAAAACACTTCCTGTGAAATGTTTGGGGACGCCAAGCTTAGAGAAGTGCTTTTAATAAATGGGTCAGTTCTCTCTGTTAGTTCACAACAACTTAACATATTATATGAAGAAAGCTGGTAGGCCTTTTTTCAAAAACCTGCATAACCAGTTTGAACAAGATGAAATCCTTGTACATGCTGATAAAGTGATTCCGATTCTGAAACTGACTCTAGAGAAGCAATTCCTACATTTTTTTTTTATTGCAACTGATTTTTTTCCCCATGAGGTCGAATTATAATGTTTGTATGTTTTTAGGCACCAAAAACATTATTAATTTGAACATTATCATTTCTCCAACCTCTCTTTATCCCTTATAAATAAACAGACTGTTTTTGTTACTGTGTCTTTGATATATGTAAATAAGCTCTGTTCTGAATGGCTGTGTCTCATTCAAAAAGCAGACCAGGCCGAAACACTCCTTATAACTTCAGTGGAAATGGGCAGAGCTAAACTGATGGCCTGTTGAGCCTGTTGAGCCCTGTGCGCATTCAAAGATAACTGCTGATGCTATAATGCTCACCTCTTGTGGTACGGATAGAGTAGAACTTCTACTAACTGTAGAAATATCAGTTCAGCTCAGCCTTTTCAGTTGTTGCCAAATTAACCTGAATGTCATTTGGTAGCAGCCAGTCTGTAAAGCACTTTGTAGCCGAACTGTACTCTGTTTGTTTCTAGCCAGTTCCAGCAATTACAGTTGTTCCGCCGTCACTGCAGTCGACCTGAGTTACATGATAATGGCTGCAGGTCAAATCTCATCTTACAATAATCCATTTTATCAATTTCTCATTTTGTATAAGCACAAATACAAAACAACTAAGGTTTGTGTGCATAAAGCTTATCGCTACTTGATAACACATCAGTCGTTACTTGACAACGCGTCAGTGGTGATACAATTTTGGTATCACAAATAACACGGTTAGAATGCTTCTCAACCAATCAGATTGTAAGGTCGGAACTAACTGTTAAATAAATTAATAAACATACACACACACACACACACACACACACACACACACACACACACACACACATCTTTACCTCGATGGTGATAAGTGAAGTTCGGTTCAGGAAGTGTTTCCTACAGTACATCATCTCCGCACGCATTCCCTCACTGCGGACGCTCTTCCACCTGACAGTGAGCAAGCAGAAAAAGTGAAAATCACCACACAAAGCAGATTTAGGCCTCTTTTCCACAGCAGGGCCGGACGGTTCTGAGCACAGGGAGTGACTGTTCCAGAGGCATTTCCACACGGACACGCTTCAACATGGAACGCTTACAAACCGGTGAAACGTAAACAGTCAACGCTGTCCTAATCTTAATAGAGTGCAGCGGTGCAGCTAGGCTAACCAGGATAGCTGAAGATATACTTCTCTGATCTCAGTGTCGCCTCCACAAGCCAAGATGTTTTCCCAACACATTTTCAGAAAGGTTCTCTGTAGAACCATCTATAGCACATTATCTATTACTCTGAAGAACCCTTTCATAATGCAAAGAGCCCTTTAATCATGCAAAGTGAACGTTTAAGTGTTCATGGTTCTATATAGAACCATTTTCTGTACTAAAGAACCTCTGAGGAACCATCTTTTTTAAGTGTGTATATAAACAAACATTCACTGCAAGTTTAGCGTGACAGGTCACAAATTACATGATCACATAATCACAAGCTGTAAACCCCGAGTTTACCAGTATTCCCAGTTCCCAACAACACTCGAACCAGCATTAGTTTCAATCCGAATGTGTGCCTGTGCCTGGTTCAGATATTTAAAATATCAAGAGAACCTAATTCAGCTGGTTCAAAAGTGTTAAATTAGAACTCTGCAAGCAGCACATCTCTGTGTTGGGGTACGTACCCTAAATAGGCGTTATAGATGGTCAGGTGATCAGAGTTGGCAATGCCTAAAGCGTCTCTGGCCAGGTTGGCCTCTTCCTTCCGACTCATCGGAGTGGAGAACGGAGACTTCTCAGACATAGCAGCAGCTATTGTGGCCTGCAGAGGACAAAAAAACATGGTCAGCATCCAAAAAAGTGGCAACCAAATTAGTTCAGTTGGTGTGTTATGGCTATTTTAAAGCCTTTTCACACAGAACAAATCGACAACTGATATACTGACAATTTGGTCCAAGACGAGGCTCATTCGCTTTAGCTGTGCTAAATGTCTAAACAGGTTCTGTAGTAAAGTGTCAGTTGGAGGTAACATGGCCCCCCAGGCCGAGACTTGCTGCTTTTGCATCATAACTCATTATAATAAAAGCTAATAGCTAGAAATAAGGAACAATAACAGCTAAATAAAACTGTTCAAGTGGTGATGTTTCGTGTTCTTATACTGAATGTGTATCTCAGTAAGCAACTAGGGCTGCAACAAACACAATTTAATAGTTGAATAATCTATCGATTATTGAAACGAATAATCGATTATTCGGATTATGAATCACTAAATTACCAAATAACTCTTATGTAGCAGTTTTTAAATTTATCTTGAGGTTGTTTCATACATTTGCTAACTAACAATGAAGATAATAAAGATGAACACCTTTCTAAATCTAAATTCTAAATTTAAACTGTGCTCTGTGCATTCTGCTGTTTGTCTACACTCTGTTGCAACTAAATGCTACAATCACAGTCATTACTGAAACGGAATAAAGTCTGCATCCCTGCATGCTATTGTGAGAGACTTGCTCTCCTCTGAGAGCAGGTATACACTGCCGCAGAGAAGATGCGCTCTGATGGAGCGGCTGGAAAAGTGGCGAATGTTTGTGGCAAACTTGTCCTCTATGAACAGATAAATCTGAAAGATTTTGTGTAAACATTTCATTATAATGGTAACCCTTCGTCCAGCTCCCCTGTGTGTCCTCTAAGAACTACCTCCTGAAACCGTTTATGAGTGGTGGCAAATGTTCACGGCGACCTCAAGGTAACAGTAAACTGCAAATGTTCTCCTAGGTTCAGTGAATTTGGACGCACCGGTGGCCTCGACGTTAAGACAACGATGCAATGTTTAAAAGCGTATTTGGAAAGTGAACAGGGTCGCTGTGAATAACAGTTATTGCTTCTCTGTTCCAACTCCATTAATGATAATAGAGAGCGTGCAGTTTTCAAAATAGAAGATGTTACAGCTCATAACATGAAGAAGGATGGCTTTTTCGTTGATATTAGCTAACTAGCTAGCTAGCTAGCTAATACAACTATTTTACCGAGATGAAGCTTCATCCAGTGAGCCGACGTGTTTCCTCTTCAGGTGCTCCCACGCGGAGGATGTGCCCCCATGCTAGCTTTAGAGGTAGCACAACTGACAGCGTTTTTTCTGAGTTAAGCGTGAAATGCTAGCAGTCTTTTAAGGATTTTGTTCTTGAGGCTGCCATCGCGCTTTTGTTAACTCTCCAGTAAGCAGTAATGTCAAAACATTCCTAGTGAGCGTGAGAAACATGCGTAATGACGCCATCAACTAATAGACTATTAAATTGGTTGGCAACTACTTTGGTCGTCGATTTTAGTCGAATAATCGTTGCACCCCTACAAGCACCTAAACTGCTTTAAGTGGTAGTTCACAGAGGAAAAAAGAGAAGAAAATTCAGACTTCTAATGTCTGCTACTGTTTTTAGCTATGCTAATGTTTATAGATAACAGTGTCATTAATTGCATAACCACATAATTAAGTCTATTAGAGATACTGAACAACTCTACACAGTCTGAGACAAGTGTGTGATGATTTAGGCAGTTGTTAGCACCATGAGAATTGGTGAGGTATAAGCTTCCATTACTTGTTAGCTACATTAGCCTTGTAGCTCCAGTTCTAAAACAAAAGGAGCTAAACTTCAGACACCAAACATCCACAATTATTTTCTATCAATTAAGATACAAGAGTGTTATTTTGATCAAGAAAAACAGAATATTCACTTTTTTCTAGTCTGAAACTTGCTGAACGTAGTGTGCCAAACTGCCAGTTAGTTGTGGTTGTAATGCCACAACACAGAAGTGCATCTGATAAGTGCAACTCCTTTACAGGCAGTTCACAAGCTCGAACTGTTCTAATTTTCCACTTAAAACTTAGATAAACTTAGATGATGTGTAGATAATGTAGGCTATAATAATTTTGATATAAAATTATTTTGATTTAAAATGACTGATTTTTCTAGCCCCTATCTACTTGACTACATTTGGAGTGAGATGAGCAAATCTGGGCAAGTTAGATTTTTTATTTGAGTATGGAAGTACGGAAAGCTGAACTCACGATGGGCTCCAGGCAGCCCAGGATGGCGCCGAAGATGAGCATCTTGCCGATCTTGACGTTGACGGGCAGGCAGGCGAGGTGCTGGCCGAGCGGAGTGAGCGTGTGGCTCTCTCTCTCGCAGGCACCAATCTTCCTCAACAAACTGACCGCATTACATACAGCCTGCTGCTGCGGAGCGTCCAGCGAACGAGAAAGGAACTCCTCTGGAGAACCGTACTCACACTTCTGCAGACACACACACACACACACACACACATTTGTACATTTTTAAGACAAAAAATTCTGTAAAGTGTTTTACAGTATATAGTTTTTCACATGATCATGAGATCAGGAGTCTAACTGTCCTCCCTCTCTCTCTCCCTCTCGCTCTCTCTCTGTGCCTCTCTTTCTCTCTCAGGGTGGTAAATGATATATTTTGTGTGAAAAAAAAAATGTAAAGTGCGTATTAGATCACCATGATGTGAAGGCACAGCTCCTCCAGAGGAACCCTCAGGATTTCTGGTTTGGAGTAATCAATGAAGCTATCGAACCTGCAATGGGACAGAAAATACCACACCTGTGATTTATACTTTAAGGCGGGGCAATGTGGCCAAAACCTTTATCACATTTTTCCATATCAAAAACACTACTAGATGAGCGAGAAATCCGACCGGCTCCCTCTGCATTAAAGCCAGGTTAGATCAGGAGTCGCAACACAAATGTTAACAAGAGCCATTTTGTCCTTTCAACAAAAATCAAACCAGCTTGGGAGCCACAACATTTAATGTCCAGTATGTGATAATGTCCTAGTTTAGGCTAAACAATATAAATATAAATTTACTTTGCTCTGCTTTAAGCTTCGCCTACAGCCGCTTTCCTCCCATCTCTGCCAGAAAACTTTTCCTCAGAAGTAGATCAGTTAAATGTCTCTGAACATTCGACTGTTTTCCGAGGCTGAAGACGCTTCTTATTCTCCAGCTTCTTGTTCGAATTTACCCGTTCCACCTTAAATTCTAACTGAGGCGCCGAATGTAAATGCGGCACCATTTAAGTTGGAACGGGAGAATTCGAAAGAGAAGCGACTTCAGCTTTAACGTACCAGGAAACCAACTGCGCTGCTTATAAATGCGAATAATGCATCGCTGCTATTGTGACCTGCAGTCTGCACGCCAGTTCTCAGTCTTTGCGAAACAGGGCTTTCGCACTATGTTGCACACGTCCTGTCTCAAAGATACTTTACTGACACAGCGATCCACGCCGTCTCTACAACGAGACCAAAACCGAAGTTATAAAATCACTAAAGAAAACGGGTAGAATAGCTGTAACATGTGCTGCGTGGACATCCATTACCACTGGATCTTATTTCACCATAACTGCGCATTTTATCACAGATGAGTAGCAGCAGCTTCTCGTGCTCCAAACAAGAGCACTGAATGAGAGCCTTGTAGTTCACTTACCACATCACTTCCATTTGTTTTATTAAAAAAAGATATTGGAAGTAAATTCATTATGGATCATTACAAATACTTTGCTTTAAAAGTACCAAGTCACTTTAAATAACAATAACACAGAGTCACTTAGTCACTTTAAAATGTATATTGTCTCTATATTCTGTATATATTCTGTGTATATTTTGTGTATATTTAATATATTTCAGTTGTTTTTTCTTTTATTTTTATTTTTACTTATTTACTTTCTGCAGAGTGATTAGCTGAGCCTCACCACAAGCATTTCAATGCATAAATGTCCTGACATGTTGGGCAAATGACAAATAAACTTGAAACTTAAACTCGAAAGTTTAGCTCACAGTGAGAAAATATAAATGCTATATAGAAAAAAAAAAGATGCATCGAGATGCATCATTAATCGTTTTATAATCGCATTGCAGCCCTCTGAATTGTAATCGAATCGTGAGGTGCCCTAGAGATTCCCACCCCTATTCCTTAGATTAATGGAGAATGTGCTATAGGTGGTTCTATTTAACACCTTTTGAAAACAGTTCTATATAACATCAAAAAGGGTTATTTTATTGTTACACAGCTTGACATCATAATTACACTATTAAAAAGAGGGTTCTTCAAGGTTTAGTAAAGAAATTGATTCTATATAGAAAACTGAACACCCAAAGAACCCTTTGCATGATTAAAGAGTTCTTTGCATCATGAAAGTGTTCTTCATGTTCTGTTCTGGAGAATGTGCTGTAGATGGTTCTACACAGCACCTTTTTTAAAATGGTTCTATATAGCTCTAAAAGGGTTCCACTATTGTTACAAGCCAAAGAACCCTTTTTGGTACCATATAGAACCCCTTTTGCTAAGAATATACACCAGAACCTCTTTTGGTGCTATTTAGAACACTTTTCAAAAAAGTTCCAGTAGAACCATCTACAGCACATTCTCCATCAATCATGATGCAAAGAACCCTTTAATCATGCAAAGAGTTCTTTGAGTGTTCATGGTTTTATATAGAACCATTTTATTTACTAAAGAACCATTGAAGAACCTCCTTTTTAAGTGTCAGAAATAATAGTAATAGTATACTATATATAATAATATCAATACAAATATTAATTATATAAAAGAACATCTATCCATACACTGTATACACGCTTCCCTCTACACACAACAGCAACACTTCAGAGTTCCAGCCTTCACTGATATTGGACTGAGGAACTGAACAGTATAAACATTTCATCAAAGTTGATTTGTGAATTAACAATATTCTGTGGAGCAGATCAGCATGACAAGCTGAGCAGATCATCACGGTTTCACACACCTGAATTTGGGGTAGAGGCGGAAGCAGAAGCCGTTTCTCACTCGTCCTGCTCTGCCCTGCCTCTGGAGAGCGCTGGCTTTACTCACAAACGTCTCCACCAGAGAGCTCATCTGACTGCTCTCATGATACCTGAACACACACACACCATCACTCGCTTTTGCCAAAGCATCCAAATCAGATTTTCAGACTTTTTATCTATTAGATGTTTGATAATAATATCTTTTCATCCACAACCACTTACTACAAATTACATTAGGCTGCATAGATCAAAGGTTTTCAGAAAATCCTAAAAGAACATAACTATTATTTTTGTGTACAACTACATATAACTATAGAGCAGACTAATTTCATAGTAGATACTGAATTATTCATAGTAGATACTGAATAATTCATAGTAGATACTGAATTATTCATAGTAGATACTGAAAAATTCATAGTTACTGAATAATTTTTAGTAGATATTGAATAATTCATAGTCAATACTGGATAAATCAAGGTAGATATTTAATAGTTTATAGTAGTTACCCAATAATTGATAGTAGTTACTAAATAATAAGTCTTGAAATTACTGAATAAAAAATAATTTGAAATTTGGAAAGCTGGTCTCATTTTTTGAGCGTTCTTTTGTCTTACCGGTTCTCTTTCGTTTTCCCTGTATCAATGACAAACACCACATCTGGAATGGTGACTCCAGTCTCAGCGATGTTGGTGGAGAGAACAATCTGAAACAGAACACACGCACATATTGACTCCTCACCTGCTCAGAGTAACAGCAACACAGCAGCTGGAACCAAACCTTGCAGTACCTTTCTCACACCAGCAGGGGGCACTGTAAAGGCTGAGGCTTGATCCTGAGAGGAGAGCGTAGAGTGAAGGGCGACAAGCTTATACCTACAGACAGCAAAAGGTAATGATTACACCACAATGAAAAACACACATTTAAAATAGCTTCTCAAATAATTTTTTAAAGCTTACATATAATAATAATTTACATTATGTAGATTAAATATTGGAAATATGGTAATTATTTACAGTCTATGGGTAAAGTCATTGTGTTATGGTCATTTTTGTTTTTTAAAAAATTTGAGATCATCATCCACAGTTCTGTTAATTATTTTTAACAGCTTCTTACTAATTATTAGAAGCCTGTGAAGTTACACAGAACAAGCACATAAGAATATTTTATATGCAACCAAACTGTTTTTATATTATTAAAACCTTTTGAATACTGGTGCATCACAGATCTTTTGACTTTTATCTGAGAACAGAGAGATTTAAGGAGGAATCACCTGTCCTTGGAGCTGAATCTCTTGTCTGTGGTCAGAAGGTCAAAAAGCTGCTGAATGTGGGCCAATCCAGGCAGAAATACCAGCACAGCCCCGTCTATCCCTGCAAACTGGGGAGATTTATCTGTATACAAGAGACACCAAAGGAGGTTTTTAATGCAATTTAAGTAGGGTTTGACTGACCAGTTAATTTGGGATAAAGTTCTGGGATCTGTAATTTCCCAAAATTCCCACAGATAGGCCGGACTGAAAGTTCATAGCCCGGATATTTATGTCAGCGATACAACACAGGACACATTCACTAACAATAACAACAACATGCCTGGATATTAGCAGGTTTTGTTATATTGTTTTCCATTAGCAGATTCATATTGGACTAAAATCATCACTAATCTATCAAATCGCAGAAATAATCCAGGAGAACGAATCCGGCTCGAACAGGGTTTTGCTGGACTCCAGCAGTGGTCCGTGTTTGCAGGGTTACCCAGGTAAGCGAGCAGGTCCAGGATTAGGTCCACATTGATCTTGTTTGGGTTCATGTACTGCAGGGCGTGACGTGTACGGTTGCTAAAGTGATCCAGCTCTGGACCTAGATCCCATCCAGCAGCAGAGTCCCGCACAATCACCTCCTAAACACAGACACACAAAGTGCTGCATATCAACTACAGCTACCACTGTATCAGCAGTATGGGCATTCTGTAAGTTCGGGTAACACAACAACAACAACAACAACAACAACAACAACAACAACAACAATAATAATAAATAACAATGACAACAGTAATAACTAGAGAGGAAAAATTTGTGAAGGAACTTTAAGTTGGCTTGATAAAGTCAGCTAATAACACTTCAAAAGTTAAAGCAGGTGCACAACACTTTTGACTGGGTTTATATAGTAATTCAGGCAACTGCTATAGTGCTACTTTGAGGTTGCTATGGTATTCTAGGTTTTTGTTAAGGTGTTGCTTGGTGGTTGCTAGGTGGTTGCTAAGGTATTGCTAGGCCATTGCTATGGTATTCCAGGTTGTTGTTAAGTGGTTGCTAGGTGGTTGCCAAGGTATTGCTAGGCTGTTGCTATGGTATCCCAGGTGGTTACTATGGCATTGCTGGGCCTTGCTGGGCCATCCCGGGCCATCCCAGGTGGTTGCAAAAGTGTTGCTAGGCTGTTGCTATGTTATTCAAGATAGTTGGTAAGATGTTGCTAGGCTGTTGCTATGGTATCCCAGTTGGGTAAAATGTGTTAGCAGTGTTAAAAAAATTAATGGTGTTAATAATTGTAGCAGTAATGCGCTATTAATGCGCTAACTTTGACATCGCTGCTTTTCATCTATGAAAGTGCTTCATAACAATAAAACAAAAACTTTGAAATATACAAATAACATAAATGTGTTTAATGGTAAAAATAATAAAAAAAAAACTAAAAACGTAAATTCAATCACTGAAACTGAGATAAGCAAAGTCATTCAGAGTGGTTTGGTGTGAAACGCTCTGTTCTGGAGAAACTTACTGAGTCAGAATTGTTCACAGTGGTGGTGATAGGAACCAGACGTCCACCTCTAAAAGCTCCCTCACAGAAAGTTATTACATGAAATGGTTATGAATACACTGCCTGATGTCTGAGACACTGTTCTACGACAGTTTTGGCCTTAAATATCCATTCATGGTGGAAGGATACATGCAGGATGTTGTAAAACAATCCCCAAAGAAAATATATTTTTTCTGATTTTTTCACTACTTTCCCACCATCAACATTCCATATAAAACCCAGAAGACACCTGTAGGTTCACTGGTGGTTTTGAATAGTAAATAAAATGTCTATATTTGTGTTGTAGTCATGGTGACCCCTGGTTCCTATCACCACCACTGTAAAGCCATCTGTGTCTGTAAAATCAACCGTTTTACACCAAACCATTCTGAATGTCTCAACAACTGAATAATACTGAAATTTAAAAAAAAATGACCGGAAATCCCTTTAAAAATAGCAAATGTTTATGACTGGACAGCAGCATTAATGATTGTAGTTTAGACTCGTACCTGATGCTGTAGTGTTTTTCCTCCCTTCTGTGTGATGGAGACGCTAACCTCCTCCTCTTCCTCCACAAACCTTTGACTGTAATCCGAATCTTCTTCCAGCACATACCCAGTCTCCTCCACGATATCCTCCAGGTGGAACACCTAAAACAAACAGCAAATACAAACAACACTTCACTTACATCACTCAATCCTTAGCACAAAATCATGCTGTTATTTATATGCATTATTTCTGACTCAGGTGGAAATCTGTATGGAAAGTGTGGATTCTAAACTTTCAATCCATCCCACATTTGTGATTTAAATTTGATATAAAGTTATTGTTGTATGTACAGTCTTGTTTTGCAGAAAGAAAAACACCCTTTGCATTTTTGCCATATTTTTGTTCCTTTTTCATTTTTCTGTTACAGTGCAGACTGTCCGCAGTAACAATACTCCACATAACTTCATCGCAAATGGGTGGAACTACAGTGCTGCAGGCTGAATGATCAGTCATATGTAAGAGTTGATGGTTGTGACACTACAACAAACTTTAAAGTTTGAAACAACTTGGTTTTCTGTAATATGGGTCCTTTCCCCACAGTACAGTTAATAATCCTCACCTCCACAGGGAAGGTCCTGCCAGGAATGGTGACCACAGGGCAGCGGTTAAAATAGCTGGAAAACTTCTCGCAGTCCACAGTGGCGCTCATCAGGATCAGCTGCAGGTCCGAGCGCTTATGGACCACGTCCCTCAGGATGGTCAGCAGGAAATCAGACTGGACGCTGCGCTCATGGACCTGAGGATGAGAAAAAGGCACACAGTAATCAACTAAACTAAACAAACCTTATCCTAAAGCTCCAATCAGGAATCACTGTAAAAACTCAGGCCAGCTTTCTTTACTGTGATATCAATCACCAGCAAATGAAGTTAAACACCTAAACAGTCCCTCAGAGTTTATACACATACATTGCCACTGTGTACAAAATTTAGCAGACATCTATTATAAAGAGGCACATAGTGCTTGGACCCTGATGATTGCCCCAATGTAATTTCGTCTTTTGTAGTGTTTACAGTCCACAGAAATCAACATGTTCTCCAATGATTACAGACACAAACTGAATGGAAGTTGATTGTCTTGGCTGCTAACAATGATAATTTTCATATAATCTTTTTTCGCCCACCAAAGTTACTAAAGAAGGAAACCCAAACAGGCAGCAACCTATTCCTAAAATTACAAATCAAATCTACACAATTTACATAAATGTTCAGCATTCAAAGGTTTGCAGGTATGGTAAATAATAATAATAATAATAATAATAATAATAATGATAATAATAATAATAATAATAATAATACATAACAATAATTAATTGACCAAAGTCAGAACCAGAAATAGACCCACTCTGTAACTGCTGTCATTCAGCTCCAGCTCCACATGCTCTCGTCTTTTTTCATCACTTTATAGATACTGGTCTGAAATTTTTTCAATGATATCAGAGGTTTTAAATGTTCAATGAAAACTTAATGCAGTTACAGCACTGTCTGGAATTCTCCCCGTTACAGAAGCAGTCCCTTTTGGCCAGATGCCTTATGGTGCTAAATTGCGAAAAGAAGAACTCATCAACCCCCCTTCTCAAATCCTTACACTGCCTACCAGTCTGTTTCAGATAAATGTCTTAATAGTGCAGGAGCAGCGTATTTATTTATTGCTGCAGTGATATGAGCCGAGCAGAACTCTCAGATCCTTAGGAACTAGTCAGTTAGTCCTGCTGAAGGTGAAGTCTAAACATGGAGAAGCAGCGTTTAGCTACTATGCTGCTCTTAAATGGAACCAGTGGACAGAGAGCATTAGAAGAGCCCAGACACTGGACACTTTTAAATCTGATCTGAGCAGCTTTCAGCTCAGTTTAAACACTGTTAGCATTTCTAGTCCCTTTTTCCTCTGTAACGGCACTTTTTTATCCTAATCTAACTTTTCATTTTAATTCGATTCTTCAACTATCCTAATTTTATTACTAATTTGATTTTTAATTTAAGGACTTTCTCTTTTAAATGTATTGTTTTAATCATGTCTCAATCATGTTTTTAATGTTATTTTCAACTATGTTTTTCTATTTGCATTTACCTTACTTTTTTTTAAACAACTCTGTATTTTCTGGCTCTGTATTTTCTTATTTGGAAAGCACTTTGAATGACAGCAGTATATGAAAGGTGCTGTATAAATACACCTGCCTTGCCCTGCCTAAACTGGAAATTGCCTGCCTCCCCAACTAATTCTCTTTGGATTAGGCATACACCGTACCATGCTACCCTTGAACGTATTCTACTGACTTTAAAAGGTTCCAGTGTAAGATTTAATTAAAAATGGCAGCCTTTTTTAACTGTGAAAAAGCTTTCCAACTGTACTGTCCCCAAGTAAAATTTATTAATTGTACCAGAACGTTGACCGTTGTTATATTGAATGTAGTTAATAATGGATCCATATATTATTTATTTATTTTTCTCACATCATGTTGTTGTTTGTGGTTCATTGTTTATTAAAACATATATTCAAAAATTGCAAAAAATAAAAACAAGTAATAATTGAATGTGGAGAAGGGGGCGTGGCCAAGCGTCGAATGCGGGACGGAGAAGCCGGTCTGGCTGAACCAGCGGGTTAAGTAGCTGATAATGTTCACCTGTGCCTTGTTTCTGCCAGCCTACTTATAGGCAATCTCTTCCTTCAGTAGGCGGCAGAGCCCAGAGAGAGAAGGAGACCACTGAAGGCGTGAGAGCTGAGCTGAGCTGAGCTGATGAGATCTGGCAGAAACAAAGCACAGGTGAACATTATCAGCTACTTAGCCCGCTGGTTCAGCCAGATCGGCTTCTCCGTCCCGCATTCGGCCACGCCCCCTTCTCCACATAGAACTTATCAGAACTTAGGATTTTGGTATTGGCCACTGTAAGCAGTTCATTATCGTTTAACATATTGGCACAGAAATTTCACACTGGTGCATTGCTAGAAATAATAAAAAATGTCCCCAAAAGCTCAAACATTTCTGCGATTAGCAGTTCTTTGACCTACGATCAGAAGCCTTTCCAAAAATAAAACAGGTTTAAAAGAGAAGACTGATCAGAGAACAGCCTGAAGGCAGCAGAGTGAGGGGTGCGTTCACCTCGTCCACGATGATGTGCGTGAGGGAGTTAAGGAGGCGGTCCTGCTGGAGCTTCCTCAGGAGGACGCCGGTGGTGCAGTAGAGCAGACGGGTGGAGTCAGAGGAGCGGTTCTCCATCCGAATCTGATATCCACACAGAGTGTCCTGCAAAACAACCACTCCATTACCACTGCACATACTGTTAACTACTCACATTAAAGCGACAGTTTACTTCCTTAGGTTTTTTAAAACTGAATGCTAGCAAAACTGAGTTGTTTTTAATTGGCTCAAAGGCACTTTACTTTTTGTAAAGTGTTCTATACAACACCCAAAGGTGTTCTTCTATTGTTACGATGTCAAGCTTGTAACAATGAAAGAACCTTTTTGGGTGCTATATAGAACCTTTTTCAAAAAGGTTCCATAAAGAACCATCTACAGCACATTCTTCATCAGTCTAAAGAACACTTTCATGATACAAAGAACCCTTTAATCATCTAATCTATATAGAACCATTTTATTTACTAAAGAACCTTTGAAGAACCATCCTTTTTAAGAGTGTAGGGCTGATTTTGGGGTTTATTTTGTAAGATCCCGGTGTTGCAGGCCCTGAAAAAGCTCTATTTGAGAACTCATGAAACTCATGATATTTCACACATGAAATATCAAATATAGGCAAATCTTGACCCCTGAATTTAAGTGTACCATTACAAACCCATCCAGCATCCTCACCTTGCCTCCAGGTTCGTCCTCACTGCCCAGCTCCTGACTGACCCTGCTGGCCAGACTCATGGCTGATATCCTCCTGGGCTGAGTGACCGCAATGTTACAGGGCCGCGCCTCGTTTCCCCCAGCCAGCAGCTCCTCCAGAATAAACTGCGGGATCTGTGTGCTTTTCCCACTGCCTGTCTCTCCAGCCACCACCACCACACGGTGGCGCCCCAGAGTCTCCAGCACACGTCCTCTGTGCTGAAACACAGGCAGCTGCTCTCTCTCGGACCGCAGCCTGCAGGCCAGTGCAGATTTACGCAGCTTCAGGAGAAGAGCCCGAGACTCCTCCCACAGCCGCATGTCCTGAACTGCATGCTGGGGCCCCTGCAGATCATCCTGAAGAGCCAAACTTTCCCACGAGTCCTCGGGCTCGTCTCCGGGATCCACGGAACCACACCTAGGAGTGTTCAGAGACCAGAGAAATGGTTATTTATGTGAAAGATTTTGTACACTAGTATAGTGCTGTACTCTGAACAGTATATTAGTATCATCGGAAAGCTGAACCTGGCCTGCTGGCTGTGGGGCTGCTGCTGTTTGAGGCGGGTGAGCAGGCGGGCGATGAACTGATCACGGGGTTTATTGATGGCTGAGCGAGTCTGTTCTTCCTTCTGCTGCTCACTGTCTCTCCACTCCAACCACACGTCACGATATGGAGGTGGAAGAAGCTGATGCACTGACTGAGAGAGAGAGAGAAGTGAATGGGAGGGGCTAAACTGCTGAGTTTAGTCATATATAAATATGTTCATGGTTGTGACTTCATTACCATTACGATTGAGTAAGGCCTAATCCCATTTCATCCCTTGCCTCTACCACTACCCCTCCTTTTTTCAAGTCTAGGGGTAGGGTGTCCTGATTGTTGTTGAGAAATGGAGTGTAATAAGGGAAAAAATGGCAAGATGACCACGCAAGCAACCAAAGAAACCCACAAATCTGAGTATTTTCTCCTTAAAAAATCACAACAACCATTGTATTATCTTAGTTTAATGTTGTTTCAAAGTATTGTGGTCCTTTTCTTCATAACAAGCTTAAAAAAATTGTTAGTTGCTTGCAGATGTCTCAGTAGCTAGCTAGCTAAATTTCCCATTCCACCTTAAATGGGACAGCAGTTACATTTTGGCACCTCAGGCATTTCAGGTGGAACAGGAAATTCAAACAAGAAGCTGGTGAATAGTTGACTTCAGCTTCATATCAGTGAAGAATTAGGGGTGGGTGATAAGAAATAATTGCCCCCCCCCCTTTTAAAGGCATATGATTCCCTAAATGTAACTAAAGCCCAGTAGTGAGGTTGCTGAACTTTACCCTCCTCTGCTATCACTGCAGACTGGCAGGGTCGCCTACAGAGCACCGCTAGTTGCCTGTTTAGTTCACATGCTCTTTAAAGAGGAGACAGGTAGGACTCACCTGTCCCTTCACCAGGCTATAGAGAGCCAGTGTGGCTCCTAAATGCTGCGCCTGCATGCTGTCCTCAGTCAAGATGGTGGGACAAACTTCCAGCACATCATCCGGCCTCTGAATACGAACCCTGACGCACAAGAATGTCCACATTTACACACAAATACACTGCCAAGTTAAAAACGTAATAGCTATTAAGAATATTTTTAGGTATTTTTTTAAACATCTCAAGCATTTTGAATACAATATGAGGTTATTAAGTGATAAATAATACACTGTAATGATCTATTCATAATGATGCCATGAGATTTGATCACCACTTTTCAATCTGATCATATCTGGACACATCTAACATTATTCATATTTACAGTTTCCTACTAATTAGGGAAATCTATGAAGGTGCACATAATGAGCATTAGATTAATTGCATGCATTTATACAAATGAATTAGCTTCATATTACTGACATTGAATCAGCGACTGCAAATGTTTGAATGTGAGCGTTCATACAAATATGCACACAGGTTTAACAAGCCAAACACAGCCAATGGAAAGATCACATACTTGCATTTCCAGTATCTTCCAGCAGGAACCTTCTGGAAGGACGGCGGTGGGCTCTTTGGAAGGTTTTTCCTGCACCAGTCGATCAGGAACTGTTTGGGAGATTTCCCGGTCCAGCTGCGGCCGGTGTAGTCAAAGTCCCGGATGTCTTTCGGCTCCTTCTTCTTCTCCGCTAGAAAGCAAAGACAGATCAGGGCCAGAATGCACCAGAGCACCAAAACCAACAGGATATGATATTATTTTAATCTAACTAAAACAGGTGGAACGTTATTAACACTGTAATGTTTCAGAGAATGGGCTCAGAGTAGACTTAAACAGGAAATCTAGCGATTTTTCAAAATTTCTGCACAGTAAAATCAGAAATGTAAGTTTTCTTTGGGGGCTATTTTGCCTCACAACACTGTGCATGTACTTCACCACAATAAACGGATTTAAAGAAAGACACTGCAGCACTAAATCTTCTCAAAACTATCATATAATAGTATATCAGACATCAGGCAGTGCAATCATAACCATTTCATGTAATAACTTTCTGTGAGGGAGCTTTTAGAGGTGGACGTCTGGTTCCCACTGCAAACCACCACTGTGAACAATTCTGACTCTGTTATATATATATATATATATATATTATATATATATATATATATATATATATCTTGTACACAAAAGCGGTGTCCCAATTCAGGGGTTGCATCGTTCAAAGGCTGCATCTGAAGGCGCGACTAGTGGCGCGACTAGGCTGTCCCATTTTGAAAGCTCCTTCATATGCAGCCGAGAAATGTGTCCTTCTTTTCCATGGCAACGACGGATCCGATGGGTGGGTCCTTTGCCAGCCAATGTATCCCGAGGTTCATTGCGTGTCAGCAAGGATTCAATTACATGGCATTATCAACAGAGGAGTGAACGGCAGCTGAGGAGCCACTGTGGTCTGAAGCAAAACTTACGCTAACGTTTTGTTTTGTTTTAGGGAGGAAGGAGCAGACAGAGAGAAGCATCTCCAGCTCTAATAAATGAAAAAAACAAAAAACTAAAAAAAGCGTTTCGTGACACAACAGTAAGGGCGGGAACAGCGGTGCTGTAACGCAAACAGGAAATCCGCCATAGAGCACACCGTCTCATTTTGGTGCAGCCTTCGAAGAACACGCCTTCATAGTCCCTGAATTGGGACACAGCTACTCTGTTGGGCACAATATCATTATTTCCTGAAATATTCAGCCAATCTGAGCCGGTCAGTCAGGAACCTTTTACTGAAATTTGGTGATTTGAGGTAGATTTACTGTACTCTCTTAACAAAGATGGTTCTTCAAGCATTCTTCAGATTGTTGCAGAATGTGCTGTAGATGTCAAGTTTGTTCCAGTAGCAGAACCCTTTTGGGTGCTCTATAGAACCTTTTTCAAAAATGCTCTGTATTAAACCATTTACAGCACATTCTCCATCAGTCTGAAGAACGCTTTGACGATGCAAACAACCCTTTAATGCAAAGGGTTCTGTGAGTGTTCATGGTCCTAAATAGAACCATTTTCTTCATTAAAGAACCGTTGAAGAACCATCTTTTTTAAGTGATATCTTGTCTATTGGTAAATACATTTTTCAGTGTGTTGCTCACTCTTCTCTGCTGGTGCCTTCTCAGCTTGTTCAAACAGGTTAAAGTTGAGGTCCTCGTTCGCTTCCTTTACAGGCGCCGGCTTTTTCTCCTCTTTCGGAGTGTCTGTGACTTTAATGGCTGGGTTAAACAGCGGGTGAGACTCCAACGGCTTCATCTCTGAAACAAAAACAACAGTAACAAAACACCTTCAGCTTTCCTCCATCAGCTTTCAGTCCTCTGTTTATTAATACTATTAATACTTGTCAGGATTCTATCACCACTTTTAATTTAAAGTTTAATTTGTCTCACTTCATTTGAATAGTCCACTACAGCCCCCTATAGATTATCTACGGATGTTCAAATTGTTAACAAACTATCTGTTGGAACTCAGTTGATTCTAAACAGTGGTGGGGTTAGGGTTAGGATTTGGACCAGGGTTAGGGCTAGGACCAGGGTGAGGGTTGGGTTTAGGTTTTGGGTTGAGGTTAAGGCTAGGGTTAGGATTAGAGCCAGGTTTAGAGTTACTGAACACACTGTGCAAACTTTTGAACAACATTTTTAAACAGTTGATCTGTAGCGTATGAGAGTGTATGACCTTGCTGAATGACCCTGATGCGGTCCTGCGCCGTTCGTTGGCCTATTTTGTCTTTCTTGGCTTTAGCGTCTGCTGCCATTTCCTTTGCATCATACAGCTGGGCGGTCAGCATCAAATAGCGGTCATTCTAGGAGGAAACAAATTCATTTACAGCAAAACACAAAGCAGCCAATGCAAGAAAACAACACAATCCAGAGCAATATGGCCTGTAGTGTTACTGCACTGTAAAACCAGCTCCAGACAAAGGCTCGTCTAACATTCTCTTCCAAAATTAAAGGGTAATTCCATCAATTTTTAAAAAATATTTCTTCACATTTTTCACTATTTTACCATCATCAATATCACATATAAAAGCTTGTGTAGGTCTCTACAAATCAACCATTTCACTCTGAACCACTCTGAATGACTATTTACATCTCAGTTAGGCAGAAATTTTAGAGAAACAGTGGAATTCCACTTTAACAGGCTGCAATAAGAGCATCTACTCATTGAAAGGCTTTCTGCTACACTCTGAAATAAAAGTATGAAAGGGTTCTTTGGGATGATGAAACAGAAGAACCACTTTTGGTTCCATAATGTCTATAATTAGATGTGAGAGTGTGAAGCTTTTTTGTTTTTAAGAATGTAGATGTTGAACATTGCTGTGAGGATTTGATTGAGCATTAGTGAGGTCAGGTACTGATGTTGGATGGTCAGTTCTGAATCACTCCAACTCATCCCAAAGGTATTGGATGGAGCTCCATCACTTCAGAGAACACAGTTCCAGTGCCCCACAGCCCAATGCTGGGGGGGCTTTGTACCCTCTAACCCACGCCTGGCACGTCTGACCTTAATTAGCCAAATCCATTAATAATCTGGATCCTTTTTGACTTGTAGTGTATTTAAGAAGGTAAAATAAAGTAATCTGGACCTACAGGATCAAACTTCTCATTCAGCTGTGGATTGTTCGAGCCATCTGCACTCCTCTCCTCCTCTTCACTGCTCTCCTCCTCCTCCTGCTCTGCATACCTCAGGATCCACTCTTTCACGTTCACTTCATCATCCTTTACCTGCGGCCGAGGACACACTTATTGTTCAGGTCAGACTGCTTACAATACAACACGCATTCTAAAACATGTCTCTTCACAGCAGTTTGGTGTCTTCTGTAGTTTTAGAACAGACTTGATGATGTGGTTTCTGACACTGTATGACTCACTGTTATCTACAAACATGGACTAAAGTATGTCACATACACTACTGTTCACAAGTTTGGCATCACTTTTTATAGTAATAGCTCTTATTATATTGACTTATAACTTATACAGTATAGACTAATATAAGTTATATAAGCACATTAAGGGGCCCATATTCTACATTTTTCTTGCCCCCCCCCCCAAGATCCACTTTTGACATTTGTGTGGCTTTATGTACCAAAAACAGCCACAATTTACTTAAACACAACAATTTTTCAGCCTCTCTTCACCCCTTACAGTTAAACAGACTGCTTTCGTTAATGTGCCATTAACAGTGATGTATGCAAATGAGCTGCGTTCTGATTCGACTGTGCCTCTTTCAAAAAGAATGTGTCACTGAAACACTCCTTATAACTTTTGTGTGAGTGAGTGGGGCTAAACCTATGCAGGCTGGATAGGTGGATTAACATAATTGTTCTGGTTTCTGTGACACCACAAAAACAATACTTTCAAAAAGTACCACATTCTGCTTAGTTTCGTTATACGGACTGTACAGACTGGAGAGTGAATGTTTACATACAACAAACTTTTTCTTGTCTTTTTTTTTAGAAAAGTGAGAACAATTTGTTTTTTGCCTTTGTTTTTTTTTTCCAAATAAAAAAAACATAATATTATAATATTGACTACTAACTTCCTCCCTGCTCACAGCCTTTTGTTGTTGCATCCTGCCTACCAAACGGTCTGTAGCCTGGTACCGGTCTGCAGTCTGGTGTTTGGAAACTTCTGATATAGACTCCCAGCAGGGCGAACAAGTTTAAAAGCATTAACTGAAATCCTGATGGTTTGCATTTTTCAGCAGAGATGTGAATGTGATTGGGGTTTTCTTCTGTTTGTTGATGATTTACCTTTGCTTTGGGCTTCTCCTCCTGTTTGAGCTCCTCTTTTCTGACCGTTGCCTGGCTCTGCTGTTTTTGATCCTGGAACTTGGCCCGACTCTTGTTGTTCTCCTCTCGCATCCTCTGGCTGAAGCCTTCCGGCAGCTCATCTTTGAACAAACCAATGGGTCAGACAAATTTCATTAGCCTCTTGCAGCTGTAACTGTATCTTGTAGTTACGCTTAGCAGCCATTTGATTGGACACATGAAGCCTATAGCTGCACTATATACAGTTGTATGCAAAAGCTAAGTTTGGCTTTTATGTTTTCATGACTTTGAAAATAAGTTAATCCTCTGCAGAGAACTTCTGCACATCTTAGTGCAACATTACTGTTTATTTGACCCTCATTTACAATGTAGGTGAGCCAGTGTAAGCTGCACTATATAAGAATTTAATGTTAAAACTGAAAGAAGTATCGTTTCTAAAATATGGTGAGCATGCATCACTGTGAGTCGTCCTGTGAAGCCTGAAATACTAAACATCAGAGGAGTCAGGTTGGGAGTTTTTTGGATGACGCCACACACACAAGCTCAAAAAAAGATCCGGCTCAATATTTAAGTCTCAAATGCATGAGTTCTCTTTAAATTCTCTATCAATCATCAGATTCATGCTCAAGGAAGGGGACCAAAGCACAATACATGCTACAAAACGTTCTTCTGCACGCTGCATGCAATTACACATTTCCACCAGAGAGGTCTCCAAATCCTCAAATCTTACACAGTGCAGCCTGAAGCCAAAAGCAGCATCCTTTACCTTCTCTCCTGACAGATTAACTTATCAGGGATTCAGAATCTAAATAGTAAAAACATAACTAATGCTAAAAAGTACTAATAATCATAGTAGTAAATTAAAAAAATACATCAATAAACCATTACAATTACAATAATTTAATAACGTAATAAATAAGATAAAAATAAAGGTAAACAAAACATGTAATTAACAAAATAAATAAAGTAATAAAATATGTAAAACTGTAGCTTAGCAATATTAAAATAAATAAGAACAGAGTAATAAAATGAATTAACAACTAAAAACATACCAAAAAATGCCTTGAAAAGTTAACTAAACTAGTAAATCTAGTAAATCTAGTAATCTAGTAATCTAGTAAAACAGTGTCAGTCTGATTGGAGGTGGTTGGAGAATAAAGGTTTAAAATGTTCATGCGACACCAGTGAGTAAAGCTTTAGAGTTTCTTGTAGTGAAGTCCAGTCCTCTGCTGCTCTACAGCTAAAAGCAGATTTTCCCAGTACAGTACAAGCTCACTGCACCTGAGAGGTGATCCAGTCACTGGAACGAGTCTGATTTACACTGAGCATGAAAAAATAAAATGTGGGCTGTGCAAAAGCACATTTTAGAAAAAATACAGCATAATTCTGAATTTGACCACTAGTGTTCAAATTCTGCACACAACTGCAGGTCTACAGTTACAGGCTGAAGCCCACTTGTTGCTGCACAGTTTACTCCCTTCATCACTGGTCAGTTTCTGACCAAAGGACTGCTGTTGTCCAGATATTAATTGGGTGGCGATCCATTCTCAGCACAGCAGTGTCACTGACATGTCAGTAGCTTGAGAGTCGTCCACCAACCAAAAAAACATCCAGCCGAGAGCGGCTCATTTTATAAAGGCAATTTTACCATCTTTGAGATTCAGGCAGAGCCAATCGAGCGCCGAGTGCAGATCCCCTCCGTACAGCATGCTGCTTTTCATGGCCTCTTCTATGTGAGCTGTCTTAAAGTGGAAGTTCTGCAGAGCTGTGTACAAATCCTGTCAAAACAAACAAATAAACAAACAAAACACTCAGTATCTGTACTGTCTCAAGGGTATTGTCACAAATATGGATAACGTCACATGCACCAGCTCAAAAAGAAAATCTGGCTCGATGTTTAAGTCTCAAATGCAGGAGTTCTCTTTAAATTCTCTGTCAATCATCAGATTCATGCTTGGGGAAGGGGGCCGAAGCACAACCAATGCTACATGTTTTTCTGCACACTGCATGCAATCACACATTTCCACCAGAGAGGTCTCCAATTCCCAAAATCTTACATAGTGCAGATTGAAGCCAAAAGCAGCAATCTTTACCTCCTCTTCTGACTGCTTAACTTATCTGACTAACAGAGAAATGCTACCTTTTAGGCATCCAGATCAATCTCAATCAACATAACCAGTAAAAGAAAACACAATGCATTTTCAATACCAGCAGCTTTTTAGTGGTGAGCCTCCCTGATATTGGCCCTTTGTCGCCATTCTCCTGTGTGTGGTCGTTGATCATTTTGATAATTTTCTTTTCCAGGTCCGGCTGAATGATGACCTTCAATCAGAGTGCAAAGAAACAGTCCATTAACTACTGCATGGCATTCATCACTGCAGGTTTATGAGCAGTAAAGGGTGCACAGTGGGACTGCATGATATCTATCGTTTGTTCATTGTTATCACAGCACTGGCCTATGCAAGACTGAAATGTTGTCTGTTTTTAAGAGCATAATGAACAATTTCTAACGATCCACATCAGATTTGTTGTGAGACAAGAAACAATTACAAAGAATGAAATAATTCTTGTTAAAATAATGCAAGGAAGTATTTAATATCGTTGCTATTAGTAAATATATTACATATGTTAGTTACCATCTCACAATATGTAGCAACATATCCACTATATGGCTTTGCAATCACATTGTGCAGTAAAATTACAATCTGCTACTTTGCTCACATCGTGGAGTCTTATTCCATAAACATTTGCTTCAGCTGGTGTCTTACTTTGAGGACTGATTTATCTGAGGCTCCACTGGTGTCAACCTGTGAGGTGCTGGTGAGGCTGTATGTTTTTGGTGCTGGAGAGGAAATAAATAAATGAAAATGATGAATTCAGCACAAATACAGCAACCTGAAGTATAATACACGCTTAAAGGGGAAGTCCACCAATTTTTTAAATGTTCTTGATGATGTACTGGTTAAGATGTGAACAGTCATTCAGAGTGGTTTAGTGTGAAATGCTCTGCTCTAGAGAAACTTACCAAGTCAGAATTGTTTACAGTGGTGGTGATAGGAACCAGATGTCCATTTATAAAAGTTCCCTCACAGCACAGAACGTTATTACAAAATAGTTATGAATGTGCTGCCTGATAATAATATTATTATTGGTTTTGACATAAGCTTTTGGGCTATAACTCAGCAGAGACGTACATGAAGGGTGTTGTGAGGCAAAAAACTCTTTTTTTCAGATTTACAACTATTTTACTATCATCAACATTCCATGAAAAGCTCGGAAGACACATGTAGGTTCACTGGTGGTTCTGGATAGTAAATAAAATGTCTATATTTGTGCTGTAGTCATGGTGACCCCTGGTTCCTATCAGCACCACTGTAAAGAAATCTGAATCTCTATAATCAACCACTCTGAATCACTGTTTACATCAAAACCACTAAACTATGGAGAAATTATGAAAATATTGGTGGAATGCCCCTTTAACCAGCCTAAGCTAATATGAGCTGTAAATCAGGGCTACTGTAAAGTGGTTTGATCTTTAGCTAAAGAATGAAGTCTGATGCTGAGACCTTTGGTTTTACTCTCCTTGTTGGGGGGTTTAGGGCAGTGGGCTCTCTGCTGCTGTGGTTGTCCTGTAGAGTCCGGCGCGCTGTTTACAGCTCCAGCAGCAGACGGAGCTGCAGATTTCTTCTTTTTCCCACCCATGGAGACTTACGGACTCTTTAACTGTATGATCAGATGGATAATGTGTGATCAGCGCGTTGGAGAGCGAAGAGAAACACACAGAGATCTTCATTAAAACCACACACACAACTCACTACTGCAGAGGGAAGCCGGGAATGGTTCAACTTATTTCAAAATAAAAGTCTCAGACAGACACTCGTTTGAAGTCTCACATTACTATCATGCAAAAATATTTATTTCAAGTGGCTTATCAAATTGTATCATATCATCATGAAGTTATGGGTGAAAAATTACGATATGATACCGTTATCGTGATAAATTAAATCAATATATATTTCTTAGCATATTGTGGGTATCATCAGTATTTAAAATGAAATTAAATCGAACAATTACCTTTAGATTTATGGAGCTCAGGAAAGAACATTTGGTTGATAGGTGACAAGTTAAATAAATAAACAAACAAACAAATAAATAAATAGAGTGAGTGAGTAAATGAGTGTGAGTGGGTGAGTAAGCGAGTCGAGCAAACAATAAACGGACAGCAGACAGTAAATTTACATCTTGTCATAGAAAAGGAAAAAGATTTAAATTATCCCATATTTTAACAATTTCCACAAAAGTAGTAACGTAATTGACATTATTAGATAAAACGACCATGTAAATTATTAAATAATAACATTTTTCTTTTGATTATTTTAGCATTTTATTTATTGTGTTCATTAATTATGTTTAATATGTACTTATTTAGTAAAACTATTAATCATTTTTTCATACAAAAATTAACATAAAATAATGAAAATCTTTTTGACTTTTACAGTTCACATTTTTGGTTTTGACTTTACGGCGTCAACGCTCATTAAGCGGAAAGAGCGCTGCATTGTGGGATTTGTGTCTTTTTCGAGCAGCATGGCGGACGCATTTGGAGGGGATTTGTTCAGCGTGTTTGAGGAGGAACAGAGCAGTTCCAGCAAAAAACCATCCTCAAAGACTACAGCGCAGCCCGGGTAGGATTATACGGGTTTGGGTTCTTATAAAGCGCTTTATTTTATAAACAGAAACACAGTGGCGCTTTAGTTAGTTAGCCTCCTCACCACATGCCGTTCACTAACCGGCTAACTGACTTCAGCACGCTTAAAGTACTTTAACAATTTTTGCTCTGAGTCTTCAAGATTAACCTCAAAGTGTTTAAAATGAGCTGATACGATGAGGGAGATGTGTGACAGCAGGAAACATTAACATGTGCTCTCCAGGACCACTGTAGAAGCTGCGCTGAGAAACAGAAAGGAAAATAAAGTGCTTGTGTTGGAGCAGATGAGTAGAGACTGAGGCTGTGTTTCTGTTGTAGTGGAGTTACTTCAATTCAATATTGACTCAAGTAAGTTAAACATGAGAGTACATTTTCAAAGCTGAACAACCAAAGTAGCAGCTCATAATACCGCTTAAGTAAGTTAAGTACTGAGTAACTTGGAGCACTGCAGTGGAAGTTTAGCATATCTCAGCAGAGAAACTAAAGTTTGTTAGACTGTCTTCTTCTCTTCTTGGATGCTTTTGGTCTGAAATAAAATGCTGCAACTCCAAAGTGAGAAGAGTGAGCAACTAAAATTGAAGTGAGGAAAAAGTAGATTGTGTTCCTCACTGATATACCTTTTAAAAAGATGGTTCTTCAAGGGTTCTGTAGTAAAGGGAATTGCTTTTTTTTTAGAAAAGCGTGTGTTCTATATAGAACCATTTATGGCTGTTTGGATTGAAGCTAAATCTATGTAGAACCTTTTTGTTCTAGCACCAAAAAGGGTTCTGTTATGGTTACATTGTCAAGCTTGTAACAATAACTGTATAGAACTGTATAGTGGTGCTGTATAGATCGATGGGTGCAGGTATCATGCAGATCACAGCTGAACATAATGACTCGTGATGAAGGGAAAATCCAACCCCATAATACAAACCTATCCTGAAACTGCACACACTCTCACTGTGTGGTGTCAGCTTGTTAGCGGTGTGTTTCTTTGTGGAGTAAACACCCGCGAGAGACACCTACCAGACCTGATATTAAACGCTAGTATTGAATCGTTGAGGTCACTGATTTAAGGATAAGTGTATCGGCTTTTAGTGTGTAGTTGCAGATGAACTAACATTGAGTGATTTTTCCATTTGTTTTTCAGGAAAACAGCCAGCACACATGGCAAAGACAAGACAGACTCTCCATCTGTCTCAGGGGCGAAGCGAGAGGCAGATAACGATGGGACTGAGGAGGTGGTGTTTGGTAAAAAAGCCAAGCTGGAGACAGTCTCAGCAGAGGAGATCAAGTAAGGCTCAGATACTCATGACCAAATTACTTTATATATATATATATATATATATATATAATATATATATATATATATATATATATATATATTTATTTATATATATGTATCTTTTCGTCAATCGATTTTCATTTCAAATCTAGTATTGACAGTTTTCTATCACTTGAACCTGAAATAAACGTGCAGAGGGCATGTGTTGTGTCAGGAGCTCAGAAATCAGGCAGTAAAAGATACAGGAAAGATCGGGCATTAATGTTGACAAGATAGGCTGAGTCCTGGCATTTTGGGCGACTACGTGACGTTTAATTAGTGTTTGTATATCTAATGTAGCTATTCTATCAGCAAAAAACTGAAGTGATGTGGGGAGGAGACTCTACAGGACTCCTGCCATTTATCAGTGCTCCTCAAATCAGAGTCCTCTATTGGCTTCCGAGTGGCGCAACCGTCTAAGCGTTGGCCCTATCATCAGGAGATTGCGAGTTCCCCCCCAGCATTCAAAGCGATGCTAGTCAGCGCAGGCGTCTGTTAGCTGACGTATCAAATCTGGCGGTTGGCACTTTCCTCTGAGCACGTTCAGCTGTCCAATGACGTTGCGTGAGTGGCAGTTCGAAAAGAAGGGGTGGTTGGCTTCACAGGAAGCCTGTGTTAGCCTTCGCCCTCCTAGCGTTGATAGTATCGTGTGATTGGGGGAGTCCTAACTAGCGGGTGGAATTGGAGACGACTAAATTGGGGAGAAAATCAGTCCTCTGGGGGGAGTCAGAGTCCTCTGAGTGCTGCACCAACATCCAATTCTTTTGTTATGTTAAACTAAACAATCACTATGAGACTCAGTGTTTGGCTTTAGGTCCTGTTGTGCTGTATTTTGTTAAGGAAAAGTCTGGATTAACCCTTATTTGCACACAGAGACAACCAAAATCGCGAGTGTCTATGCCTGCGAGATGTGCGTGCATGCGAAGGGGAGTCAGGATTCAGCACAACCGTGACAAACAGGCCTGATTTCAGTTATTTGCGTGCCCTCTGCATGTCTATTTCCGGTTAAAGCGATAGAATTTATTTTATTCTTAATTTATACAACCTTTTATTTCAATAAAAAACAAGAATTGACCCATTTTCCTGTTTTTCAATGCTATTATTATTATTATTATTATTATTATTATATGTGTGTTTTTTGTATTTTCATTTTTTTACATGGGTAAATTGAATAATCAAAACAACATCCACTGAAACTCATCTAGAACTGTGGTTGGTAGGATAGTCATGGCACACCAGACACAAATCATTGTTAATCAGTAAGGCTGATCATGAGAATAAAGAAGCCATATAATATGCAGCTGTACTTTAAGCAATTGTTCATTAATTGTATTGATTTCTCTCTCAGTCTTGCAGACCTGATGCCTAAAGTGAAAGTGGAGCAGGTTGAGACGGTGGAGGGCTGCACACATGAAGTGAGTCTGCACATACAGCCTGCTTTCATCACCCAAACTGTTAAAAGCTTGTTAAAGTCTCTGCATGTTTTTTCTATGAATTGACCAACACTTCAGTTTGGGAGTAATACCAGCCAATATTGACACTGTCTGTATGTTATAGGCATTTTTGCTGATAATGTGCAGATAATTAGCGACTTTCGTAACTCCCTTTTTTATAGAGCTAAGCCTTAGACCAGGGTAGCGTACTGCAGTCCTAGAAAGCTGGTGTCCGGCACAGTTTGGTGATTTTCCTGCTCTGAACTCTCCACCTAAACCTGCAGGTTAGCTCCAGGTTAACTAGTTGAATCAAATGTGTTTTGAGATGGAAAATCACCTGTGCTGGGGTCTGGCCCTTCAGGACTGGAGTTCACCACCCCTGCCTTAGACAGTTGTGCCACTGCGGAACCCAATGTGAGTTAACTGGATTACATCACTACAGGCTTAAGTGGTAAATCTGAACATAAAACACCATCATGGGTAATATATAGTAAATTGCATCCAAACCCAGAGGTTCACTATATGTATTGGGACACCTATGCTTTTATGACATCCCATTCTAAATCCATAGGCATTAATATGGAGTTGGTCCCCTCTTTGCAGCTATAACAGCTTCCTCTCAACCCCTGAAAAACAACCTCATAGCATTGTCCCTCCTCTGCCAAACTTTACGGTCGGCACAATGCAGTCAGGCAGGTAGCGTTCTACCGCCATTCACCAAACCCAGACTCGTCCATCAGACTGCCAGATAGAGAAGCATGAGTCGCTCCACAGAACAGGTTTCCACTGCTCCACAGTCCAGTGGCGGAGTGCTGTACACCACTCCATCTGACGGTTGGCATTGTGCTTGGTGATGTAAGGCTTGCATGAAGCTGCTCTGCAATGGAAACCAATGCCATGAAACTCCCGGTGCACGGTTTTTGTGCTGATGTTAATGTCAGAGGAGGTTTGAACTCAGCAGTTATTGAGTCAGCAGAGCGTTGGTGACTTTTATGCACTTTGCTCCTCAGCACTCAGTGAGCCGAGTGTAACTTTACGTGGTCTGACACTTCATATCTGAGTTGCTGTGGTTCCTAAACGTTTCCACTTTTCAGTAATACCACTCACAGTTGATCGTTGAATATCTAGGAAGGAAGAAATTTCACGAACTTTTTGCAACAGTGGCATCTTATGACTAAGAGGTGTGTCCCAATACCTTTGTCCATATAGTGTATGAGTGGGTATTTGAGTACTCAGTTAACCATTTGAGGTGTCAGTATTTGAATACTGAAATCTGAATTCGAGAGTTCATAACGTTTCATTATGGGAAGAGGGAGAAAACATACAGATTAACAATTCAGTAAAACGCAACAGGTTTGCATGTATTTGCGAGTAAGTATGTTTACCCTTTGCCACTCCAGATGTGCGTGCCTGAACGTGAGCACTTTGTTGAGGGTGTGCTGTTAAGGTCACAGCTGAGAAAGTTAGGCTAACTACTCTAGCTGATGTTGCTGAGGTCCAGAAACACTGAAAATATATTTCTCTGACAAACTAACATGCTGTGACTCTGAGGGGAAAATACCTTGTGTAGAAGACCATCCTCATCTGCTTCCAGCATAAAACTGAGCTCTGTCAGCTCATCTGAAGAGGCAGGCCTCTGTTACTCATGCAACATGAACATCTACCGATGTCTTTTGACTGTTTTTGAATAATATTAAATGTTCCTCTGTGAGCTGCTATAGTTTTGTGCACCTATTCTATGACTTTTGTGTAGTGTTTGCATTGTTTTATTGTGGAGTTTCCTGACTTGATAGGAGAAAAATGTTGTTTAGTTGCCAGTTTGTTTGTGAGAGGTTTCCTCTCTTCCCTGTAGGTGGCGCTACCTGCAGATGAGGAGTACAAACAGCTGAAGCCGCGAGTCGGAAAAGCAGCCAAGGTAACATAACTGTTTGCTTTCAGTTATGCATAGTGTCGTTTTCGTTGGTAGAAGGTGTGTAATAGCTAATGGAGACCCAAAGAAAAATAAGAATAGATCATGTTTTAATGTGCTCTGTGTTCACTTCCTCTCCTGCAGGAATACCCCTTTATTCTGGACCCTTTCCAGCGGGAGGCCATTTTGTGCATCGACAACAATCAGTCAGTTTTGGTGTCGGCTCACACCTCTGCCGGGAAAACCGTGTGTGCTGAGTGAGTCTGAAACTAACGTGCTGTTATTTACAAAGTCAAAGCAGCTAGAGTTTCTTTTCCATTGTAACCTGCAGATCATGGCCACGTTTTTGCATATAAATCCCTGTTACACTGGGTTAGTTTTATCTGGGGAGGTTCTGTAATCCAGGGTTTCTCAACCAGTGGGCTGTGAAGCAGTCTCTGGTGGTCCGCAGGCCTGTACTCAGAGGGAGGCCGTGATTCATATTTGGCCGGTAACATCACTGTAAGTCATAAAGACAAGTGGAAAAATGGTTAACTTAATAATTAAAAATCTATCAATTAAACGTTTTCATATTATAATCAAAATAAGTATTAATAGAGACGTACAAATAAAAACATCACAGTAGTGGCCTAATTAAACGTCAACAGTCTGAGACAACTCAGCCACGGACGCATGATGCAGACGACTGGCCAGAGATGAAGTTGTTTCTCAGGGCGCTTTGATGTGGACTATCACACCTTTTTCTTTAGTTCACTCCGTTTTTGATGTGTGAGCACTCCACCTGTATTCAGGTCTACAACAAACAGCTTAACTGGTCTGGCAGAAACCCTTGGGTCTCAGTCTGTTTCAAACCGAGCCTTGTTCAGTTCACTGCTGATGGAAACGTGCTCTGTGATGAAATGAGGGAATTCCTCAACAGAGATGGCTTTCTTTCTCTTCTAGAGGCACGTCGACGCTGTACAGTGTAATGACTGTTTTAACGACTGACCCTGTACAGGTTCTTAACACAAGCTGCTGTTAAACTATAGACGAGCGATAAAGTAGTAGAGAAGACGTGCTTGATTCCAAATCATGAATCGCGGAGGATATGTTTGTTTGAGCATCAGCGACCAAACAATTACTTATTTGGAAAAGCCAGTGGAGTATTTTCAGTGAGAACTTCATGGACTGCAGCACCAAATCACAATTCATATCTACTTTGTACATTTTCTATTTTTTTTTTTTCATTTTCTTTTTCCACCTTCTTTAGCATCACTTACCATGTGTTTTTTTAGGTTTTGTAACATACCTGCAAATTTTGCAAACCTACTGACAAATAGAATGTGCGATAAGATCTTTTCCAGGCCCTAATTTTCAGGTTTTCAGTGTCAGCATTTAAGAAAAGAAAAATAAAGTGGGATTTAAAGTTTTTAAAGTTAGTATTTTAGTTTTCCTGTGGGCTGCTATGCTTTGTAGTTATACACATGTGGGCCTTGAGGTGGAAAAGGTTGAGAACCCCCCCTGTAATCTAAGCAGTCAGCAAAAACATCTGATTAGTATGAGCCTGCAGTGTAGGATAGGATAGTTTTTCAGCTTTAAAGCCCTATTTGGACAGTTTATTAGTTTCACATGAGGAGGTGGTTGATGTCGTTTTCCCCTCCTCTTTCTCCCCCCCAGCTTTTCTCAGTGATTTTAGTCTTAATGTGCCATGTCAGTCAATTTTACTGACTGCATTCTCCTACATCAGTAAAAATTCCACATCCTTCCACCTTCTATAAAATGAGCTGTAGAAATAACCTCAAGTTCTGTTAACCCCATGCGAATTAGCATGTCAGTATAAACATTATCATATTCTGTGGAAATGGAGTTTCTTAAATAATTGGTAAACTCCAATTACCTACTTCCCCCAAACTAATCTTGTCCGAATAGGTTTTAAGATGAATCATTGTTTTAAACCAGTATGAACCGGGTGTGGGGGTGTGTGTGTGTGGTTTTATCAGTCTGACAGTAATAATTGGGCTAAATGGTTTTCTATAATAGTCTTCAAGAACAGCAGTCCTGTTTCAATCCACCTCATGTTAACTGAATAGCAAAACCTGTGTGTGTGTGTGTGTGTGTGTGTGTGTGTGTGTGTGTGTGTGTGTCTAGGTATGCGATTGCTCTGGCTCTGAGAGAGAAGCAGCGAGTGATCTTCACCAGCCCTATTAAAGCTCTTAGTAATCAGAAGTACAGAGAAATGTATGAGGAGTTTCAGGATGTCGGCCTAATGACTGGAGATGTTACCATCAACCCCACAGCGTCCTGCCTCGTCATGACCACAGAGGTACACCAGCTTCTTCTGTGGTTAAAGAAAATTATGATGCTCCGCCCACAAATGTGTTCTTAGATAGCTGATGTTGTGAGCTGGACAAACCTTACAGAGCACGTAAAAATCCAGTTAACCCTAATGAGAAACTGTAGAACAGACTCAGTTTGTATCACAATACCTACATTTAGAGCCAGTTAATTATGAAAATACAAATTGGGCTCAACTTTTATTGGTAGATGGTCAGTATTTACTGAGTGGGATTGCCTGCTTTCAGATTTTGAGGAGTATGCTGTATCGAGGGTCAGAGGTCATGCGCGAGGTGGCCTGGGTCATCTTTGATGAGATTCACTACATGAGGGACTCAGGTATATGACTCTGATATCATTAGATGTTTATTAAATTCCCCAAATGAATATGAATGTGCATATATTGGAAGTGGTCTGGGGGCAGTGATAAGAACCAAATTCACAGTATGTTTACTAATACAGTAAAATGTGTGTCCTGCAGAGCGTGGAGTGGTTTGGGAGGAGACGATCATCCTGCTCCCCGATAATGTTCACTATGTCTTCCTGTCTGCCACCATCCCCAATGCCCGACAGTTCGCTGAGTGGATCTGCCACCTGCACAAACAGGTACACGGTTCAGAGAGGACTGATTTCATGGGCTTTGCTCAGACTGCCAGTCCAAATCCGATTTTTGCAAACTGGATCCAAACTATATTTGGAGGTGGTTTGAAATATGATTCCAATCAGATTTTTACAGATGTGTCACAGTCCGGATGCTCTAAAATCAAATCGAATTTCAAAGTGTCTTTTGCGTCACTCACAACACAACAGTGTCAAAGAGTGATGGAAGTGCTGTGATTCCAGAAGAGCTCCAAAGATTCATGCTTATGCCAGAGAATTTAAGTTTAGAGGGTGACATGATGCACCTCCATCTCTCCTGCATCCACATTTGAAATCCACGTTACTGGCGCCTACATCCTTACTACGGCAACCCATGCAGATAGACTGGTGATGTCTGGATACACAAATCAAATCTGATAACTTGTTCATGTGTGGACAGTTAATTTGAGAAGCAAATCCGATTTTCCTCAGTCTGAGTGCAGCCATAAACTGTATATTTACTTCATAGTTGAGACTATGAATGTTTGTTTAGAGTTCATCAGTAAATCACGGGCCTCTTGTTAACGATGTTGCACTGATCCTTTAAATACTTGCAACAGTATTCATGTCACATTTATCTACCTCTGTATCTATACCCACTTTAGAGGTTGATGAATGTGCACTCCTAAAAAATAAAGGTGTCAGAAATGTTGCCATAGAAGAACCTCTTTTGATTCCCTACAGAACCTTCAGTGGTTGGTTCATGAGGAGAAAAGAGATGTGACCTTATAAGAATCTCCACATGATTTAGGAAGAACCCCTTAATTGTTGTTCAGCCTTTACTAAAGGAAGGTTCTTTAAGGCTGGGCCCACACTACACGATTCTTAGGCAGATTTTTAACCCCAATTTGCCACTTGCGACAAATTTTCATAGTCTGAAGTGATTTTCCAGGTTGGGAGAAATGACTGACTGTGTGGATGATCTGTTAGTGTGAGAGGAGAAATGAGTGAATCTTTAGCCCTCTGATCAAAATTTGAAGAGATCTGACGTGAGACCCTCTGATATTATCAAACATATTTATGACTCAAAACATTCATGAGTCCTGTAGTGTGAGAAGGTCAGAGATTTACTCAACGAGTGATTCAAACAGCCAATCAGAGAGCTGGAAGAGTGGAGAAACGGGTGAAGAGGCATGTATGCGCACTGCCTGAACAACGGAGCTGCATGTAAAACACAGGCAGATAAGAGCCATTATAATGTTTAGAATGCTGGATCCAGACATCAAGGCACTCTCTTTACAATTTCAGCTCAGCTGCCAGTTTGTAGTGAAATATTTCTCCAGCTCTCACTGTAATATCAGCACTTCTCACCACATATTAGCTCTGGGAGTTTGAGTACTTTTTTGTAGCCCAAACTCGTTATACAGGTTATTCTCTCTCTCTGCTTTGTCGTCTAGTCTAAGTGCCCTCATGACAAAAAAAACTAGAAATTCTGTAACAAACTGCTGTTAAGTTTGTGATGCTCTCCATTTTAGAAATCTGTTAAGATTAAGTTGTGCAGTGTATGGCCAGCATAAGCCTTTTTTTTCTTTGTTTTACTCATCTTTTTTTTAAACTTGGTTCTTAAGAGAACTGAAAAAGGATCTTGCATTGTCTCGCTTTAAGAACCGTTTGTGGCACCTTCATTGTGTTAAAGTATCTACATAAAACCTATATATTTCACCAACTATAAAAGGCCAGTAAGGCTTCTTTTATAGCCTCAATACTAAAGTTGTTGTTAGCTGCACATTGACCATGGCTGAAATATGAGCTTTAGCCATCATCTAATTTCAATATCATCATATCGAATTGTGGCACATGTTCATGTATCAACAGCTAGTTGCGGTGTCCAGAACTAGTTTCTGCCAAATTTGTGAACTAGCAAGAACCTCCACATCTGTCAGTCAACTCCAAAATTTAGTTTAATGTTTCTTCTGTAGTAAAAAATCTTTCAACTGATTGTTGGTGTTATAAGCAGTTATAAGCACAAAATCACCAGATTCTGTTGTCCTGTTTTTGTCTGTATCCAGCCGTGCCATGTGGTGTACACAGATTACCGGCCCACTCCACTGCAGCACTACATATTTCCAGCAGGGGGCGACGGACTTCACCTGGTCGTGGATGAGAATGTAAGATTGATCTGCTTTCTGCTTCTCAGTAACTGTAAGGAGCTCTGTGTGGGGTATTTACAGGTGAAGTGTGAGAGGTTTTGTGTTCTAGGATGCTTTTATCCCCTTTAATTAAGTTTGACTAGCACAATCTAGATGCCCTTGTCTGGAAAAAGAAGCCCCCTTGGTCTCGCATGAATTTGTCATCTTATTTTTTTCAGACTGTGTAATTTGTCGAAGCGCTCAATTGTTTATTAATTAAAGTTAACGTGATTACAAATAATATGCTAATATATGCTATAATATGCTAATATGCTTAAATAACTACATATATTTTCTCTGTGTTTGGTAAGTCCACCTTTGTCTTCGCATCTAAGAACAGCACTGTTTTCAGCATACCTGTATTGTTCCTGCATTGTTTCTCTAAACTGCTGGAACTACTTTTTCTGGCGGAAGAAACTGACAGTATTAAACACAGATTGTAAATGTTGATGAAATTAGTCTAACTATCTATCTAACTATCTTTCCCCTGTGGGTTTTTATTTATTTATTTATTTATTTATTTATTTTTAAGGGTGAGTTTAGGGAGGATAACTTTAACACAGCCATGCAGGTGCTGCGGGATGCCGGAGACCAGGGGGGCAGCGGTGGGGGGAAGTGGGACCCCAAAGGCAGGAGAGGAGGCACTAAAGGTAAGATTTAAAGCGATACTTCTCTCAGATGTGCTAAAAGTGTATGAATTGTGGTGGGGGACAGTTAGGATAAGACATTTTGTTGTGAAATGCTCGTTAAGTCAAATTATTGTTTTGCTTTATAGTCGATCTCCAAGACTTAATTATTTAAATAGAATTACATAGTCGTGCAGTCAATTATGCTTGCTTTTCGTATGAACAGGCTTGTCATTAAATTGTAATAATAAAATATCTGCATCTACTTACAGTGTGGTATGAATTGAACTTTCAATTAGTAAAGGCTGTTACTGCAGTAAAGGGGGACAAACTCCCTGTTAACACTCATTACAGAAGAAATGCTGTCTACAAACTTTTGGACATGTAGTGTATTTGAACAGAGTGTAAGAATGGGCAATTTAGGGCACGGACACCATAAGGGGCCTACGATGGTTCACTTTTGATACATCAGATTTTATTGATTGATGTAAAATAGGTTCTATAAGTGTTTAAGCACCTTGTCTTCCATCAGCACTGTCACTTTTACTGTAGTTTTAAATGGAAATAAGTGATGGAACATGGTGTCTCCAGGTCCATCCAATGTGTTTAAGATTGTGAAGATGATCATGGAGAGGAACTTCCAGCCTGTCATCATCTTCAGCTTCAGCAAAAAGGAGTGTGAGGCCTACGCTCTGCAAGTGTCTAAACTGGACTTTAACACAGGTACACAGGTGTTGTTATTTGCAAACACAGTAGTGCACTCTCCTTCAGAGTTAACAAACACACTGACTAACACACACTGACTAATCTTGCTGTAATACCTTCATTATCCACTTAAAGTTTGTGCTGGATATTACTTATCTAAGCATCAAACTTTTTTTTTATGTTGGAATGAAACAATAGAAGTCATATCGCCCCCCCTACACTTCCTGTAGTGTATTACAGTTTGTCAGAATGCCTGTGTGGATCATATGAACATTTATAGAGCGCTTTTGAAATAAAACAGTAGAAGTTTTTATATTTAATGCTGATGATAGTAAAATTGGTGGGAAATCTAAAGAGGAAGAATAGAAAGTTTTCTTTCTGCGTTAAATCACTCTGCATGTACATCTTTGCCAGACGTGGCTTTTAGGAAACCTTAACTCTAGGCCTGGGGTGTCCAGTCTTATCTGCAAAGGGCAGATTTTCACTCCAAACAAGCTGGAGTGACACTTCTGACTCCACTTGTTTACTCAGTTGGTCTTAGTCTTCAAACAGGTGAAAACCTGCAGCCACACCGGCCTTTTGTGGGTAAGACTAGACACCCCTGCCTTAGGCCAATACCTTCTTAAAATGGGAGCTGGGCGATGTGGCAAAAATGGAACATCATGATACTTCAAGAAGTTTTTAAAAAACAATTATATTTCTTGTACATCTAATAAACTTCTGTGCAGGAGCAAATTAGTGCAGCTTTTTAAAAAATACTAACAAAAACTGGGAATTCAGTGATTTGCATTGAGCCCATCACACACTGTAGTGCACAATTAAACAGAACTAATTATGCTCTCTTTGTAATGAAACATGGTTAGTCAGTGTTATTTGAATACTGACATACACTGTATACTCAGATCACTATTGTGACACATTGTGATGTAATTTATCACAGTAATGATAAACTTGGTTATATTGCCCAGCTCTACTTGATTATCTTAAAACATTGTATATGGCATGAAGCCGTGTGTTCGTAATTGTTTTGTGTAATAATTTTCTGTGAGGGAGCTTTTCGAGGTGGACGTCTGGTTCCTATCACCACTACTAAGTTTCTCTAGAACGGAGCATTTCACACCAAACCACTCTGAACGACTTTGTTTACATCTTAACCACTCAATTATGCAGAATGTTTTTAAAAATTGGTGGAATTCTTGTTTAAATGAAATAGGACAAAGCACCCACTGCACTTCCTATAGTATCTGACAGTCGATCAGAATGACCCAAGTGAACAATAAAAATTCACCGTGACTTGATTTTCATAATCTGCATCGTCACAGCCACAGGCGTGTTTGACAGGTGATGTTCATTGAAGCAAAAACAGGCTGCTCACTAGCTCTGAATGGCTGCGGGTGAAGAGACTCCAGTCCTTCATTTTGGTGAATTTTAATGTGTTGGAGCCTGATTTGTCTGGGTTTAGCCATCTAGCATTGCTAAATACAGGCTGTGGAGCGTGTTGCTAGTGCCTAAAAGATCAGGGGAAAAGCGGTGAAGTGCTAACTTTATTTCTGGAGCATGTGTTTACGCTGCTCTCGTACTGTAATTCAGTTTAAAGGCCTCTCTTGAGATTTTGGGAAATTTGATTATTTCCTGAACTAGCACTTTAAGTGTCTCTTTAACAGGAAAAATGTGCTTCCTTATTTGTGTTGATTTGAAATAAAGTTCTCTCTCCCTGTGACTTTTCTCATTTCTTCTACTCGACTGTCATTCCACTTCTTTACTGTCACTCTCTTTCTTGGTCTTTCTTTTTGTTTTTCTTTTTTCAGCTTCTTTTTTGTCCCCCTTTCCCCTTTTTTTGCTTCTGTCTGTCCTTTCTTTCTCTCTGTCTTTCTTGATTTCTTTTTCGCTCTCCTTTCTGACTAAACTGTATGTAATTATGGAAACTGTCCTCATTGTGCCACATTCACTTAAAACCCTCGTCTCCCTGCCAGTGTTTCCGATCAGGTGCTCTTTCCACTCGAGGACCTTTTTAAAGGGTTGAAGAAAATTCTCAGTAGTCAACTAAACTAGCAGTTAGTCTGTGTTTTTTGTGAATTCAATATTTAGGAAACCCCTTGTGTCTGTGGTAACAGGTCAGACCAACACTGATGGGCCTGACCTGTTAATGTTTGTGTTTATTGTAATTTTATGTAGTGTTTTGTATGTGCAAAAAAGGCTATTCTCAGTCTGTCTCATGAAGAATCATTCTTGATTAGCCAGCTAACTTTAAACTTATCTCAGTCCAGCCTGGATTTTCTGTCTTATGATGATAGGTCACTTTTTTACTGGGATAAATCACCACTGCATGTGCTGTGCTGATACAGCTTGTGCTGGGTGTCTAACCAGCTGCAGGGCCGGTTGTGATAGAGATTTCATAAACAGCTATTGATCCAGTCAGTTCTGAGCTTCTGACCAATCAGAGACAGTTTTCTGACTGAGATGGACCTTTCCGTTTTTTTTTTTTTTTTTTGGGGTCACTTTCTTTTTTTTTCATGTGGGAAATATCGCTAAAGTTTATCCTTTTCTATCTCAGACCGATGAAGACAAACTTGTTGCTGTGTTTGTTCAGCAGAGTTGATCACCGTAATGCTCATCTTATTGGAGAAAACAATCCATCCTCTACATCTCAGACAGAACACAGCATCACGGATCCTCACAACACCAACACAGAGAGCTTATATCACCCCCGTTTACATACTGCACTGACCGCCTGGATCTTTTAGAGAGATTTTAAAGCTCTGCTGCTGGTTTTTGAAGCTCTAAATAACCTTAAAGCTCCTGAATGTCTGTCTGTTTATGATCTTAGATCTGCAGATACTGATCTTCTGTAAAATGCAGAAAACGTGGAGAGACTCTTTCTGTTATTATGCGTCTAAACTGTGAAGCTCAGTTCACCTTTTATTAGACAGTTAAGCTCAGAGCTCACTTTCAATAAACATCTGAAAACGCAGCTTTTTAACTCGGCGTTTAATTAAAACTCTACGTCTCATGGTATTTATCTTTTTAATTTGATCTGTCATTTTATAGTTTTAAATTAGTACTCATAATTTCTCGTATTATTGTTAAGCTTTATTTTCTGTCTGAAAAGCACTTTGAGCTGCCAACCGGCATGAAAAATGCTGTATAAGTAAAGATTTTTTTTTTCTTCATTAGATTTGTGTTGTCAATCTCTTGAAAGCAGAGCAAACAAATCATATTACATATTTACCTAGAATATAAAGTAAATATTACTCCTTTAAGTTCTAACTTTGACAGTACTGCTTTCTGCTGCTATAAGTGCTTTACTTGCTGCATATTTACTTTCTCCATAGATTTATTTTTCCTTCTTTGAAAAATAAACCACTCACATGATTGGCTGTTTATCGTAAGTGTCACGCTTTCATGCACACGGGGAGAAAATTTGGATTAACTTCAGCATTAAGCTGAATGTGCTGTGTGAGAGACCACTGCTCTTTGTTGGCCTAAAACCTTCGCAGATTATGGTAGATGATGCCAACTAATCACTGCAGCCTTTAGATCTTTCAGTGCTCACTGTGTGCTCTGTCTCTCTCTGTCCATCTAGATGAGGAGAAGAAACTGGTGGAGGAGGTTTTCAGCAATGCTATCGACTGTCTGTCAGATGAAGACAAAAAGCTGCCACAGGTAAACAGGCACACATACACTAGAGATGCACTGAACTGTCAGCTCTCGAAATTGGTCAAAAATGGCACTTTATTTCGGCGAAACATTTGACTGAAAAACAAAGATTAAATGGGCTTTCAGCAAAGTGTCAAATCTAAGTCTTGATTCACACATACTGCTTCTGCGTGGCGTGAGCGACGTCGAAAGTCTTGCTTTTCATTTTGGTGCTCATGTTAACTGGTCAGCGCTTTCACGCACGCTGTGCTTGCGAAGCGGCCGAGTCCCAGACGCCGCACTGCTGGCATTGCTGTCTAAATATGTTCGTGTTCTTCTTTTTTGATTATATGAAGTTATCAGTCATGGATAAATGGCTACACATCCTTTTTTTATTTTTATTTTTATTTTTTTTATTTTTTTTTAGGATTTTTTTTTTATACTACATGATTATACAGTTACACAGTGAAATTCAATAGGCTATATTGTGTTGTATTTGCTTAGATTAGGCTATATTGTGTTGTATTTGCTTTGCTTCAATAGTCTATATTGTGTGTGGTGTGTTTTTCTGCTTTCCTGATTTACACCATTAGCTCAGGATGATAATGAAACCCGTGCTATTTTTAACTTTTAAAATTTTAAATGTTTACAGTCGTAAAACAAAACACTAATGACATGCAGACAAGCACTCAATTAGTGCTGGGTGCAAACATTCTTGCCACTAAAGAGAAAAGTTGAGCATTAAATGTGGTGAGCTCAGCAGGAGGCGGCTCTGTGCCCGGTGTTGCAGCATTTCTCAAATGTTAAAGGCCCATATTATGGAAACTTTTTAAGGGAAGAGTTTGTTATAAATTAAGTGTACTCCTACTAAAATGAAATAGCATAGAAAAGAAACCTTAGCTTTCATAATTTCAACTCCTGAAGGACGATCTTAACATCACAAAAGTATGTAAATCATTCATGCTTCAGGCTGCTGTTTTTAGCTGTGACATATTTAAGTCCATGTTTATAGGTAACAGTGTGTCATACAGTGTCAAACTACATGATCAAGTCTAATTATCTTTGGGTCCCTTTTACTAATTTAATGGGAACAACTTGGTAGACATAAGATAAACATGATTTTTCAGCATGGTGTTTTCAATGTCCTGTGCACATTTTGTATACCTGTGTGTTCTTTGGGGTCACTTTGACTGTTTTAGCTGTATGAAACATAAGACACATTAAGATTTTGCACATTTGTTTTGGTTGTTTTGGATGGTATTGAGGTCAATATAACGTGCAATTTAATAATCTTCAAAAAAAATTCCCTCTGTTTTAGGGCCCTAACATAACCACACCTGTGACACACCTAATCTGATGTAACCACACCTGCGACACACCTAACCTAACATAATTACACTTGCGACACCCCTAACCTGACGTAACCACACCTGCGATACACCTAACCTAACATAATTACACCTGCGATACACCTAACCTAACGTAATTACACCTGCGACACCCCTAACCTGACGCAACCACACCTAACCTGACGTAACCACACCTGCGACACACCTAACCTAATTACACGTGCGACACACCTATCCTGACGTAACCACACCTGCGACACACCTAACCTGACGTAACCACACCTGCGACACACCTAACCTAATTACACCTGCAACACCCCTAACTTCACGTAACCACACCTGCGACACACCTAACCTAATTACACCTGCAACACACCAACCTGACGTAACCACACCTGCGACACCCCTAACCTAATTACACCTGCGACACCCCTAACCTGACGTAACCACACCTGCAACACACCTAACCTGACGTAACCACACCTGCGACACACCTAACCTAACATAATTACACCTGCGACACACCTAACCTGACGTAACCACACCTGCGACACACCTAACCTAACCTAATTACACCTGCGACACCCCTAACCTGACATAACCACACCTGCGACACACCTAACCTAACATAATTACACCTGCAACACACCTAACCTAACCTAATTACACCTGCGACACACCTAACCTAATTACACCTGCGACACCCCTAACCTGACATAACCACACCTGCGACACACCTAACCTAACATAATTACACCTGCAACACACCTAACTTCACGCAACCACACCTGCGACACCCCTAACCTGACGTAACCACACCTGCGACACCCCTAACCTCACGTAACCACACCTGCGACACCCCTAACCTCACGTAACCACACCTGCGACACCCCTAACCTCACGTAACCACACCTGCGACACCCCTAACTTGACGCAACCACACGTGCGACACACCTAACCTAACATAATTACACCTGCGACACCCCTAACTTGACGCAACCACACCTGCGACACACCTAACCTAACATAATTACACCTGCGACACACCTAACTTGACGCAACCACACCTGCGACACACCTAACCTAACATAATTACACCTGCGACACACCTAACTTGACGCAACCACACCTGCGACACACCTAACCTAACATAATTACACCTGCGACACACCTAACTTGACGCAACCACACCTGCGACACACCTAACCTAACATAATTACACCTGCGACACACCTAACTTGACGCAACCACACCTGCGACACACCTAACCGAACCTAATTACACCTGCGACACACCTAACCTGACGTAACCACACCTGCGATACACCTAACCTAACCTAATTACACCTGCGACACCCCTAACCTGACGTAACCACACCTGCGATACACCTAACCTAACCTAATTACACCTGCGACACACCTAACTTGACATAACCACACCTGCGACACACCTAACCTCACGTAACCACACCTGCGACACCCCTAACCTCACGTAACCACACCTGCGACACCCCTAACCTAACATAATTACACCTGCGACACCCCTAACCTGACGTAACCACACCTGCGATACACCTAACCTAACCTAATTACACCTGCGACACACCTAACTTGACGTAACCACACCTGCGACACACCTAACCTAACCTAATTACACCTGCGACACACCTAACCTAATTACACCTGCGACACCCCTAACCTGACATAACCACACGTGCGACACACCTAACCTAACATAATTACACCTGCAACACACCTAACCTGACGTAACCACACGTGCGACACACCTAACCTAACATAATTACACCTGCAACACCCCTAACCTGACGTAACCACACCTGCGACACCCCTAACCTCACGTAACCACACCTGCGACACCCCTAACCTGACGTAACCACACGTGCGACACCCCTAACCTCACGTAACCACACCTGCGACACCCCTAACCTGACGTAACCACACGTGCGACACCCCTAACCTAACATAATTACACCTGCGACACCCCTTACTTGATGCAACCACACCTGCGACACACCTAACCTAACATAATTACACCTGCGACACACCTAACTTGACGCAACCACACCTGCGACACACCTAACCTGACGCAACCACACCTGCGACACACCTAACCTGACGTAACCACACCTGCGACACCCCTAACCTGACGTAACCACACCTGCGACACCCCTAACCTGACGTAACCACACCTGCGACACCCCTAACCTGACGTAACCACACCTGCGACACCCCTAACCTGACGTAACTACACCTGCGACACCCCTAACCTGACGTAACCACACCTGCGACACCCCTAACCTGACGCAACCACACCTGCGACACACCTAACTTCACGTAACCAAACCTGTGACACCCTTAACCTGACGTAACCACACGTGCGACACACCTAACCTAACATAATTACACCTGCGACACCCCTAACTTGACGCAACCACACCTGCGACACACCTAACCTAACATAATTACACCTGCGACACACCTAACTTCACGTAACCACACCTGCGACACACCTAACTTCACGTAACCACACCTGCGACACCCTAACCTGACGTAACCACACCTGCGACACACCTAACTTCACGCAACCACACCTGCGACACCCCTAACCTGACGTAACCACACCTGCGACACACCTAACTTCACGTAACCACACCTGCGACACACCTAACTTCACGTAACCACACCTGCGACACCCCTAACCTGACGTAACCACACCTGTGACACCCCTAACCTGATGAAACCACACCTGTAGTAGTGCGAGAACCTCTGATAGTTCACATGACAATACGGGGGTAATTCCCAAGAGAACTTTGATATTTCTCAGAGATTTAAATTGTTGGAGTCAAATTGACCTCAAGAATAGATGATGTTAGTCTTTGTGGAAAACAGGAGGGTAAACAACTCCATAAGCTTAATTATTGTGATGATTATGGTACGCAGTTAGCACCATCCTAATTGGTGGCTTGCGTTACTCCAGCTTGAAGGTAGAACAAAGGAACTTCAGACATGAAACATGGCTACGTTTGGGGTAGACTGTATAGTTTAATTTTTTCACTGAACTATCACTTTAAGAGGCTTGTAAAGCTCTGCTGAACTCTGTAGGACACTGTCTGTTTCTTTTTATCTTCTGTGACTCCCTCATCCCTCCATCTCTAACCCCTGCAACCACCACCACATTTCCTGGACCTTCCCACAGCTCTGGTTCCTCTCGGCCTGCTGCTCTGACTCATGGTGGCTTTCGCAATGCATTGAGATGCTGTAAGGACAGCTCCGGTCCAATTTTGCTTTTAGCGTAAATCAAGTTTTCATGCAAGACTTTCCCGTCACTCAGCTGGGATGGAGAGTGTTTGTGTTTTTTGGCCTGTGGATGTGCTCTCAGCGTTTTTCCACATGCTGGTCCTGTAAGGTCATCCTGCAGGTCTTTTCTGACTCACTCAGAATAACTGGATGTGTTCAGTTACAGTAGAGCGTCTGTGTCAGTCAGAACTCCAGCCAGAGCATGTTTTTGTCATGTGCCTGGTGTTGAACAGCATTTCGCTTCCTGGCTCAGGTTCATAAACTTGTCCAGGATTGCTTGTGGGTTTGTATGGTGACTTCTGAGCTCAAGGAAGCATAAGCTCTGATTTTTGTTATTGTACTGAGTCAGTTTATTTGGTACACCTATTTGTACCTGAACCCTTTGGTCTGCCATACAGGTGGTTTTTGCAGATTTACATTTTCAGACTGTAGTCTGTCTGTCCCTACACAGTTTCAGTTCTCTCTTCCCCATTCATCAGTGGAAAGGGACCACCATTGGACCACCATAAGAATTATTTGGTTGTGGGGTAAAATCCGTGCTTTTGGTGCCTTTGTGTCCCAACATGGCCAACAACAAAGTTTTGCCAGAGTCAAAGATTTGAGGTAAAATGTGAGACTGTGCCCACAATTAAAAATCCACCAATAGGAGAATGGAATGACTAAGAATTCACAAACAGGAGAATGGCACAGCAGACAGCAGTCACGCCTAGCTAGTAACTAACGAAAAGGCAAAGAGAGAGATTTAAGATGAACATTGATCATTTGGGGACAAATGGACTTGCTTGCATTTATAATCACTCGAGCTGGTTTTCTGGTACGTTTAATCTGCAGCGAGAAACTGTCAAACAGAAAGTCAGCTTCTCATTCACCAGCTTCTTTAAATTGCCCGTTCCACCTTAAATGGTGCAGCAGTAACATTCTGGTTCCTCAGGCGCCCTTTAAGGTGGAACTGGAAAATTCGAACAAGAAGCTGGCGAATGAGAAGCTGACTTTCAGCCTGGTAAAAAGTTGAATGTTGCGAGACGTTTTGCAAGTTACTGTTCTTTTGAGGAAAAGTTTCTGGCTGGAGATGCGAGAAAAGCTGCTATAGCTGAGCTAAAGATAAAGCAGAGCAAAGCAAGTCTGCATTTTCGTTTGTATTATACTTTTTGCCTATACTAGTACATTAGCACATACTGAGACATATTTACAGCCCAGATGGTAAAAACGTTACTTAAATAAATGGACATACAATGTTGTGGCTCCCAAGGCAGATTTTTTTTCTGGTTGTGTTTTTTTTTTTTTTGAAAGGACGAAATGGCTCTCATTTAACATTTGAGTTTCTGACCCCTGATCTAGAGTGAGTACAAATTAGTTTAAAGAAATAATGAATCAGCTAATTTACACTGCCTCCTCCTCCACCACCCCCAAAAAGTAGTCAGTTAGCCAAAACATGTTTGGTGTCTGAAGCTTGCTTCCTGTTCCAAAACTTCAGGCTAAAGTAGCGAACGTGTAATGGAAGTTTATATCCCACCAATTAGCCCTGTGCTAACTACACACCTAAATCACTCACTCACTCACCTCAAACAGTGTGGAGTTGTTCAGTGTTCACTAATAAACTCTCTTGCAGTTTCTGATAGTGTATAACACTGTTGTATACTGGAAAAAATTCAGACTCGAGCTGTTTAACATGCTTTTTCCTGTTTGTCTTTAGGTGGAGCATGTCCTCCCTCTGCTGAAGAGAGGCATTGGGATCCATCATGGTGGACTGCTGCCCATTCTGAAGGAGACCATCGAGATCCTGTTCTCTGAGGGCCTTCTCAAGGTAGGAGCCTTTGACTTTTTGTCCTTTAGCCTCACTGCCTTGTATGTATTAGAGATCTTTTGCTCTATCACAGAGGATAGAGGTGTTCAGCTAGCGATTATCTTAATGAATAGAGTAGACCTTGTGTCGTCATGTCAGTGATCTACAGATTCTGAGTCTAAGCCGTTTATTTGTATTGGAAAAATGCATGGGATTGAAAATTGGCACTCAACAAAAATGTAATTTAACCAGGGGTGCTTAAACCTTTACACACAGCTGTATATTCTGTACAAGAGCTTGCTGTAGTTTCTCATAATCGCTTTGTATTAGGGCTGCTTAGTTTGTCAGTCACTATCGTTAGATCAGTCTTCAAAATTGTTCTTGTTAGTGGAGCAGCCGTCCCTTTGTCCATCAGTAAAAGGGGAATTCCACCATTTTTTTTTCTAATTTTCTCCGTAATTCAGTGTGTGAGATGTAAACAGTGATTGAGTGGTTTGTTGTGAAATGGTTGATTTCTTTAGAGTGGTGGAGATGGGAACCAGGGGTCACTATGACTACAACACAAACATTTTATTTACTATCCAAAACCACCAGTGAACCTACACGTCTTCTGGAATGTTGATGATGGGGAAAATAGTGGAAAATCTTCGTTTTTTCTCAAAATGCCCTGCATGTACCCCTTTGCCAAGAATACATTAAGAATGTAGATTTTAGGCCAAAACCTTAACTAAAAACTATCATAAATCAATGTCTCAGACATCAGGCAGTTCATATATTCATAACCATTTCATGTAGTATCTTTCTGTGAGGGAGTTTTTAGAGGTGGACGTATCACCACTGCTGAGTGTTTCACACCATGCCTCTGTTTTTCAATCATTCAATTATGCGTATATTTGGAAAAATCTGTGGAATTCCCCTTTTAATGTGTGAGTGTATTTGTGGCTAGTTATTGAACTCTCATTTCTCCAGGCGCTGTTCGCTACGGAGACATTTGCCATGGGGATCAACATGCCTGCACGAACTGTACTGTTTACCAGCGCACGCAAGTTTGATGGCAAGGACTTCCGCTGGGTAAGCATGTCCACGTTACTGCATCTTCACTGTTGGATTGTTTTATTTATTTATTTTTTTTTGACACCTTGAACAGAGCAGCAATCACATTCTGGCACCTGCTCAGACATGTGTTTTCTACAGTGAACAGGTTTTGGGCAGTAGTATGCTTGCAGTGCTACTGCTGAGTGCTGATTGGTTGGCGTTAATGCCACTGAGTGCTGACTGGTTGGAGGTAATGCCGCTGAGCACCAATCGGTTGGTGAGCTGATGGGCTCATTGGCAGTTTATGCTCACCGACATCATGAATGTACATAAGGTACTGTTAAAAGATCCTGTATGTGAAGTTCAAAAACGTGTGACAGCAGGATTGAAATATTTTATGTTATGTTGAGACATTGTGCATAAGAGCCCATTCATTTTAGACTTGCTCTCTAGCGCCCTTTAGCATCTTACAAATCCGGAAGACACATTGAGTGGCGGTTCTGCTCACTAGAAATTCTCTGCCGTTGTCTGGCACAGCTGATGGAGTTGGGCAGCTTTTCGGGTGGACGGGAGGAAACAAACTCCATTTTTGATAAATACTATCATGTGACTGTGTATGATGGCACTTGCCATGTCACTGTGGCTTATTTCTACTTTCATTTAATTAGTAGGTAAAAGCCCACATTTACAAGTGGTGAACGCACAGTCTCTATACCGTTTGACATTAGACCAGGTATAAAATCAGAGGTGATATGGTAATGCAATACACACAGTGCTTAATTCATACACTGTTTCCCCATCTCTCACTCTATATACACTCTGTTCCTCCATCACTAACATGCAGGCCTTTGGGCCACGGACTCACTCCAAAAGGCCACGTATTGTTTGTGTGAGAAGGAGGCCATGACTCGAGCTGTTGGAATTAAAAAAAAAGAAATAAATAAATAAAAAATAAAAGCCCTTGGCGTCTCGGTTCTGGCAGGAAGCTCAGAGGAAGCTGCCATCCAAAACGCTTTGTGAGGAACATCTGGTATCCTTGAGTCTGCCAGAACTGAACAAAGCAGAACCTCTGCCATGTCTCCTCTGGATCCCCAGGCTGCTCGGCGTGTGATGGAGGAGCTCTTTTTAAAGGGCTCATAGCACGGAAACCAGACTCGCAGAGCTCCCCCCAGCCCCCCCATGTAGTTTGATATATGTAAATTCATTCGTCAATATAATAAACTAGACTGCAGATGCAGCCTGTTTTGGGTTAGACATGGTTGTGATGTCGCAAGCATGATGCTTTTCAGTGTTTCAGCTTGAACTCATTTACATATCAACCTTGAAGGCACAGTAACAAAAACAGCCTGTTTAATTTTATAGGAAAACATTGGAAAATTGTATTGAACAAATGAATTATGACTGTTTTGATATAAATTAAACCACACAAGTTGACCTTTGGGGGGGGGGGTCATATAATGCAAGTAAAATGGAGGAATATGAGCCCTTTAAACAGTGATTGAGACTAGCTCTGGACTTACTTGAGTGTCTGCAAGGTAAGAACAATAGTCGCAAAATGAGCCTGCTCCAGCCAGCTGTGCTGTTTTTTCTTTTTTTCGCCTCTGTGTGGAGATCTAAGAGGGGAAGGAGATAATCGGAGCCACATGGCTATGACGGACTATTGAACACACAGAGCATGAACGTCATTATGCGTGGAATGGGTTGAGAGTACGTTCGGGAATGTGTTGGAGAAAATTCACTCTCAAACTGAGACTGACGGACCTCGCTTCAGTTTCCAGGCAGTTACACCACCTTAAAAAGTTTGGAATCACTGTCATATTTATGATTATTGTTATCTCATTCAATAATTACTCAGATAGCTTTGTGTGGACTTTTTTTGTAACTATCATACAGCCTTCTCTGTCATATTTGGGCTGCGTACACACTTCCAGATGTAGCCAATCAACCAAGGCTTGTTAAGTGTCTCAAATCTGCATCGAGTTTTAGCACTCGGACTATGAAGTAATGTAACCAACAGGTAATGGAAGCTTATACCCACCAAATTAGCATGGCGCTCACTGACACACTCACCTCACACTGTGGGAGATGTTCAGTATCTCTAATAGACTTGATTATGTGGTTTCTGACACTGTATGTCACCAAACATGGACAAATACATTAGGGTCACTGAAGAGAGTATATCTTCATCTTGAAGCCTGAGAATTTAGTAGCACATCCCTTTCAGTGACGGTTTAGGCAGTGCTGTTTAAAAAGAAAGGTGGATTTGTGTTTGTAATGAGATCGTATGTGTGTTATCAGATCAGCTCAGGAGAGTACATCCAGATGTCCGGCCGTGCTGGGAGGAGAGGGATGGACGAGAGAGGAATAGTCATTTTCATGGTGGACGAGAAGATGAGTCCGGCTGTGGGAAAACAACTGTTAAAGGTAAAACTGCAAAGCACCGCACAAGAAGGTTAAGAAATAGCTAGCTTGGGGTTTTGTTTATTATTTTCTGCATATTTAAATTGTGTATGAGAACAGAAAAATCAAGAACAGTTTTGGCCTCACCTGTAAACTTGCTATTTTGAAGATACTTGTTTATTTGGACAGCAACATATGCTGACAGTCATCTTGATAAATCAGTACTGTTGTGTCGCTCACATTAGTGATTAAAAGAATCTGTGTAAAGATTAATATTAGTGCCCTCGTTCACGTGACATTCTCTGTATCTTGCTAAAGGATCTCGTCTAAAAGGTGACGAGTGCTCCAGCATCGCACGTCTGACTAGCTCCAGTTTAGCTTTAGCATTAGCTCATCTGAAGGGGCACCATCACTAAAACCTCAATAGACATGAAAACCTGCTGCTGTTATGCCCTGTGGCTAAACGCCTGCCGTGTTTTGATTAACGTAAACATGGTTTACAGAATCCTGTTTGCTAGTTTTAAATTGCCCTACATTCATATTTTCTCAGTTTCAGTTGGGCAATATTCATATTTTCCCAAACATGTATGTCTACACTGAACATCTTGCAAAGCCAGTTTGTTTTCGAATGATAAATATTTCATATTTTCTTCTGTTTGCTTCGGGGTTTTACTTTGTGCTTCTGAAGCTTTTAGTCTGTTAGTATGTGGTGTAGTGTTAGGGATGGCCTAAACTGAAAGAATGATTGACACAGCAACAGTAGCTAAGGGAGGCGGGACTTCTTCAGAATTTTGTACGGTCTATTTCAGCTCAGTAAGTTTTTCTAAGACTACTCAGAGTGAATTTGCTTATGACCTAACCACTCATTATGCAGAAGTTTTGAAAAAGTGGTGGAATTCCCCTTTATAGTTATAGTTTTCTAGTGGTTGCTCTGTAATGTCTCAGTTAGGAATAAATTGGTGTCTGTCACTGAGAGGACAGGACAGGCCTGTGTGCACCCCTCTCGTTTTTCTTCTGTCCTGAAACGTCTCAGAGCTCAGTGCTCTGTTGCAAAGCCGGTGTTTGATGGATAGACGTACTCTGAATGGTCGTTATACAGTTTGTTTTGAGAGGTTGTGTTTGTGTACTGAAAGTTTTTGTCAAATTATGGTACGCTCTCGCTCTGTCACTGCAGTTCTGTTTAAATGCGCTTTAAGATGACTTTTATATGCAATATTGTGAAAGCAGCACAGTCAACAATGAAACATGCAGAATAGCAAAGCCTTAATTCTATTTTAATGCATCATTGCAGTTATCCATAAAAGTTCCAAAACATTTGGGACAGGGGCAACAAAACGATGGTAAAGTTGTGTAACACTAAAAATCACCTGGTGGTTAATCGGCAGCAGGTCAGTAGAGAGGCTGAGTCTTTCAGAAGTAAAGATGAGGAGGGGTTCGCCACTCTGTAAAAGACTGCACAAGCAAATCAAGAATAATATAATCAACAACTCAAGAATAACGTTTCTCAACATAAAATAGCAAAGAACTTTTATAAAATGAAAAATATGACAAAGCAGACACCAAAGTATTGAGCAGCTGAAATCCTATGTTAAGCAAGAAACATTTCACTTTCAAAACTACAGCGGTCGGTTTCCTCAGTTCCCAAACGCTTACAGTGTGTTGTTACAAGAAGACGTGATGAAACACAGTGGTAAACATGCCATGGTCCCAATTTTTTTTTTTTGGAACGTGTTGTGGCATTAAATTCAAAATGGGCCTATATTTTTCAAAAAACAATAACATTTCTTAGTTTCAACATTTTGATTTGTTGTCTTTATACTTTTTTCATTGAAATATAGGGTTTAAATGATTTTGCACATCATTGAATTTTGTTTTTATTTACGTTTTGCACAGCATCCCAACTTTTTTTGGAAATGGGGTTGTAATTAAAACATTAGAAAACAGAAAAATCAAGCAGATAAATGCATTTACCACTTTCATAATGAGTGTTTTTGGAGCTAAATACTAGCACTACAGTTGCCAGCTCTGCACAGTGGGCTTATTAGATATTGCCAGTTGGCACAGATGCAATCCAGATGTGTTTCTTGCTGCTCCAGATTGCGGGCTAACAGGCTTGCAGTTGCATTTATTACTGATAATAAAGGAGAGCGTGCTGGCTGGCTGTCGAGAGCAATATAATTATTCAGGCTGCACCGGCTGTTGAAGCCTAGGTTTCTGAATTTAGTGCACCTCTGGTATAAATCTCTTTTGAGCTGCTGGAAAAACCTTAATCACTCCTCCGTTCACTGACGACTTCACCAACCATTGTCTTTATTTTAAGTTGACCTATTATTTTTAAGACCCTCTGCTCCCCTAAACTACAGCTGCCTTGTCCTTGTCAGGGTTGCCAGATTGGGCAGGATTTTGTGTCTGTCTGTGTCGCGTTCATGTGTAAATACATACAATATGGACAAACGTATTGGGACACCTACACATTACACCTACAGGAGCTTATGACATCCCATTCTAAATCCATAGGCATTAATATGAAGTTGGTCCCCCTCTTTGCAGCAGTAACGGCTTCCTCTCTCATGGGAATCTCTACAAGATTTTGGAGTCTGTCTGTGAGAATTTTTGCCCATTCATCCAGAAGAGCATTTGTGAGGTCAACACTGATGTTGGACGAGAGGGCCTGGCTGATAATCCCCGTTCTGGTTCATCCCAAAGGTGTTCAGTGGGGTTGAGGTCAAGGCTCTGCACGGGACAGTCAAGGTCTTCCATACCAAACTCACCCAGCCAAGCCATTTATGGACCTTGCTTTGTGCACTAGGGCAGAGTCATGCTGGAACAGAAAAGGGTCTTCCCCAAACTGTTCCCACAAAGTTGCAAGCATAGAATTGTCCAATATGTCTTGGTCTGCTGAAGCATTAAGAATTCCCTTCACTGGAACTACGGGGTCTAGGCCAACCCCTGAAAAACAACCCCATAGCATTTTCCCTCCTCCACCAAACCAATGCAGTCAGGAAGGTAATGTTCTCCTGGCATTCGCCAAACTCAGAACGCAGTTATTGAGTCAGCAGAGTGTTGGTGACTTATGCACTATGCACCTCAGCACTCAGCGACCCGCTCTGTAACTTTACGTGATCTGTGGTTCTGAGCTGCTGTGGTTCATAAATGCTTACACTTTTCAATAATACCACTCAGTTATTTGTGGAATATCTAGAAAGGCAGAAATTTCACGGACTGACTTGTTGCAACGGTGGTATCCTATTACAGTACCACACTTGAATTCAGTGAGCTCTTTAAAACAAGCCATTCTTTCACAGTTGTTTGTAAAGGCAGACTGCATGTCTAGGTGCTTGATTTTATGCACCTGTGGCACTGAAACTGAATGACAGACTATTTGCGTATTTCATATTTGATGGAGTATTTGAAGATTTTGTTGCAGCCCTAGCTAGACCCTTCATTATGCTAAGAGTCTCTAAATTCAATTCAGTTCAATTCATTCTTCTTTATTGTAATGATGGTCCTAAATGGAAATCAGTATTGCTCAAGAATGTGTTATAAGGTAAGGTTTGTTTTAATAAATAATAACAAATAAATAAAATCTTAAATAAAACTCTTTCTCTCTTCCTTCTTTCCTCTCTAGGGCTCTGCTGACCCGTTGAACAGTGCGTTCCACCTGACCTATAACATGGTGCTGAATCTGCTGCGTGTGGAGGAGATAAACCCGGAGTACATGCTGGAGAAATCCTTCTACCAGTTCCAGCACTACAGGGCAGTACCCGGCGTACTGGACAGTAAGAGACACACCACATTACTGACCACTTTCTCACCACAGTCAGTACGTTTACACGTATCTGATCTCTATACACTGTTCTAATTCTTCTGTTAAGTTTCTCAGAATAGAAGAGCTCTGATGTGAGGTCAAAGTTTATGGTTTTCATTTTTTTTCTCTCTCAGAGATGAAGAAGCTGGAGGAGATGTATAATTCCATAGAGATCCCTAACGAGGAGAGCGTGGTCACCTACTATAAGATCCGTCAGCAGTTAGCCAAGCTGGGTAAAGAGATTGAGGAGTATGTTCGTAAGCCCAAATACTGCCTGCCCTTCCTGCAGCCTGGACGACTAGTGAAGGTGATTTTTCACTTATCATTTAAGAGTGATATGGCAAAAATATGACATTATGTCCTTGTAGACATTTTCATAATGCACGATATGTATTATTGTTAGGACTGTTAATTATTATTAATGCTTAAATGCTTCTTTGCATGTTGAAATGGTTCTTCAGAGTGGTGATGAATGTGTTGTGTACGGTTCTGTAGTCAAGCTTTCAAAAAGGTTGCCATGGTGACAATAGCAGAGCCATTTTTGATGCTATACAGAACCATATACAACCATATACAATAATGTCTTTACTAAGACCCTAGAAGAACCACCTTTTTTAAAAGTAAAATAGTATAGTATTTGATATCCAATCAGCTACTTGTTAATATATATTAATTATATACTGGTTGTTTACAGTCTATAACTGGCCTAAATCTGTATTTTTATGATCTTTTCAGTTGTTCAGTGTTCTTGAAGAAATGACTGTACCCTTTATATACTCAGAAAAGAGCATTGTGCCACAGTTTATCATTTTAGCCAGAACATGTAATACTGCACTGTCCGTTTTTTCCTGAAGGAGGTCTTTTCTTTACTAGAGCTTCTTCTTTTCCAGGTTAAAAAGGAAGACCTGGATTTGGCTGGGGCGTGGTAGTTAATTTCTCAAAAAAATCGAACGTCAAAGTGAGTTTTGTTCTGTTTTCTGATTATTTGAACTTCAGAAACATTCAGCATTATTTTAAAAGTGCAGACGTTGCAGTTAATAAATGTGAATGTGAGATATGTATGGATAAAATAAAATGTTTTAAAAAGCAGATAAAACTGTGAATATTTGTTATTTCAGGCCAGTACGGGCGAGCTGGACCCTCTGTATGTAGTGGAGGTTTTGTTGCACTGCAGTAAAGACAGTGTGAAGAACGCTGCAACAGAGGCAGCCAAACCCGCTGCAGCTGGAGAGAAAGGAGAGATGCAGGTGAGACGGTTACAGGGGTCACAGTGCATTGACTGCATGAATTTGGGAACATCTGCATCAATTGTTATATATACAACATATTCAAACAGTCAGTCAACCTTTATTTAACCTTGGAGAACATGTGGCGTGACCCTCATTTACAGTATTCACTTGAAGTGAATATTCAATATTCATGTTCACTAAGGGTGTTTTCACAGTTTTCTTTAAATGAAATGACCAGGTTCTGTTAAACTGAACCTGAAAGGAAACCAAGTGCAAATGATCTCGGTTCTTTTTGTTTTAACAATGTAAGTGAACTAATAAAGAGGACTGTTTTTTTTTCTGGTCCTTTGAGATCTCAGACCCCTTCTTTTTCAGACCACAACTCCATTAGACCCCTTTCTCACCACTTATGCTTGCAAATTGGGCAGCACTCTCTGATAAATCTAACCTTTCAGCTGGCGAGAGGAACTACAGACTCACCTGTTGCTCTCCTATTGGCCACACTGAAACGATTGGCCAAAGTGCGTTGGTCAAAATTGGAAAAATGACCCTGCGTGCCTGCCGCGGTTGGTTCTTTTGTTGGCTATGCTCATCACAGAGCTCCACCCAGCGCAAATCCGCGTCTGCAATTAAATAGCGGATTTGAAAGAGCAGCATTCGTGCAGCATTCAGTGTGAAAGCAGCTTAAAGCTCTGTGTTGCCTGCCTGACTAGTATGAGCCTTTAACATGGTAAAATCACACAGGCTCTGGCATGTTATCGCTTTAATATGTCAGGGTTGCTGTCTTGTCACAGATCACAGACAGACTTTATCCTGAGTAGAACCATATAAATGATCCTTGGTCTGTTTTACCTGCTGAAGTGCTGAAGACTGTGACCGTGTGTGCGGTGAGCCTCGAGGTCTTCACCATAAAGCAAAGCAAAAGCGGACTGGGGCCGAATTGTTTTCACGGTTCGTTTTTGGGGCCGTTTAGAGGGGTCTGAGTTTGTTTGTTGTGTTCAGATATGCACAGAAACCCATGACTGAGCGGTGCCTAAGTGCGAAAACACCCTAAACTGAGTTTCACAGCTGTGTAATGTGTACGTGTCAATATTCTGTGGCGGTTAAGCATACATTTCTAAATCCATTGTGCATGTGTCTTGTAAAATCTGTCTTTCTCTTGCACTCTGTGTCACTTGCTCACTTTTTGTCCTGCACTTTATCTGCCTCATTCTCTCACTGTGTCTTTCTCGGTCTTGCTGTCTGTCTTGCTTACTTGCTGTCTGGCTGTTTGTCTCACTTGCCTGCTGCTGTCTGACTTGCTGTTTCTGTCTGTCTGTCTGTCTTGCTCGCTCGCTCGCTCTCTGCTTGCTGTTTGTCTGTGTCTCGCTCATTGTCTGGCTGGCTTGATCGCTGTCAGTCTTTCTATCTAGCTAGCTTTCTGTCTGTCTTTCCATCTAGCTCGATTTCTGTCTGTTTTTTCTGTCTCCTATCTTGGTATCTATCAGTTTGAATTTCTAATATTTTTTGCCCGTTTGATCAGGTGGTTCCTGTCTTGTTGAACTTGTTGACCTCCTTCAGCTCCGTGCGGCTCTACATCCCTAAAGACCTGCGGCCGTATGACAACAGACAGAGCATGCTCAAATCCATTCAGGTAACACACAAAAACGAACACACTTCCTGTTTCTTCGGTGAATGATCCAGACTTCTGCTGTATGGGAACACAGTGTTCAGAGTAGTTACAAATTGGTGACAAAAATCTATTAGCCAACAACGACAGTGATTTGTACTTAAAAACCAAAGCGCTTTATGGTGCTCTACAGTACAGTGAGAGCGCTTGTTGATCCTCAGGTCTTCAGAGACCTGGGTGATTGTTAGGCCTTGTGGTCCTCACACGCACAGAGTTGTGGACTTCAGGACTGCGAGTGCGGTGTAACAGGGCTACACAAAGTGTGGCCTGTGGGCAAAACTGGCAGTTGATTTGGCCCACTAGCCCTGTTTAACGTCACCTCCTCGCCCAATATGAGACCAAACATGTTTTTATTCCATATGTACCTCCTTATTTACCTTTTTCTTATGTTTTAGTAACAAAAAGTGTAATGCACTGCATAAAGTGTAGGGGGTAATATGGCTTAAATTGTTTCATATAAAAAGTGCTCTATAATGTTCATGTGATCTACACAATCATTCTGACAGTCTAATGCACTACAAAAACTGCTTCTCTTATAGATGTAACATTGAATGATGGTAGAGATTGAGAAGCAACTGCAAAAAGCACAACCACACGATAGTTGATAGATTAATAATTGTATAAATAATTGAGTTGTAGTTGGGTGCTTTGGTTGGTGCGTAATGTTGCTAATAATCTCTCTCTCTCTCTCTCTCTCTCTCTCTCTCTCTCTCTCTCTCTCTCTCTCTCTCTCTCTCTGTCTCTGTCTCTCTCTCTCTCTCTCTCTCTCTCTCTCTCTGTCTCTCTCTCTCTCTCTCTCTCTCTCTCAGGAGGTACAGAAGCGTTTTCCTGATGGGCTCCCTCTGCTGGACCCGATCGATGATATGGGCATTAAAGACCCAGGCCTGAAAAAGGTCATCCAGAAGGTCGAGGCATTTGAGCACAGGATGTACACACATCCGCTTCACAGTGACCCAAACCTGGAGGCCGTGTACACTCTCTGCGAGAAGAAAGCTCTGGTGAGTTCCTATATATGCATTAGGACACAAGGCCAATGGGGAAAATGGAAGCAAACAGGGATAGACAGACAAATCCACTAGTGGGCGCTGTGAGCAGTAGACTAGCTGACGGCAGTGCTTGAAATACAGCAGCGGTAAAAACTGCAGTGAGCAGGCAAGAAGAGAGAACAGAAATCACTTTTTTTCTGCTAAATACAGAGATAAGTATTTTATTGTTCCGAAATATTACAGTAGATGAAACCAGTTCTGTTATGGTTGTCGGTTGTTGGTGGTTGTGTGTGTTTTGGTGTGGTGGTGGTGGTGGTTGGTTGTTGTTGGTTGCATAAGGCTGCACCCAAATACATATAAATGTCATGCACAGCAACCAATCAGAGATCATTTAATACATTTATGTAGAAGTGATCCACCACTAGACTCAACTTTAGCTCTGAGGATATTTCATTTACTTGCTGGTAGCAGGTGTAACTTTTAAAACAACAAATGGTGTGAAGGTTTTCCTGGTCAGCAACTTAAAGACTCATTCCTGTGCGGAGATGACAGCTGCTTGCCTCTGGCACTGAGCTTGTTAAATCTGATAGCTGGAGGTGAGACTGTGAGATCTGTGGTGATTTTAACGTTCAGTTTACATCAGACAGTCTGTCTACTTCTGTATGTAGAGAGTCTGAGATTAAAACTTAATGAAATCCAGCAAAAACTCTTCTGTGCAAATCTCCCAGCTCAAACCGCAGCATCTCTTGCCTCAGAAACTATTAGTCTACTAACAGATAACTTTTCACTGACAAGAAACTCCTCATTCTGCTTTTTTCAGGATCTTTCCTGCTAGCAAAAATTAAGTTGTGCAGCCCCTGTCAGGTGCTAACATGCGACCTGCAGGTTTTGGCTCTTTATCCATCGTTAAGCTCACAAAGGTACTGAAAACAGCAGAAGACTTTTTTGCAACCTTTTATTTATTTTTTATTTAAAAGACATTCAAGACAATTCAGAATTTTTCCATTGTTAATAGGATTTATTCACTTTATTTGTTTATTTAGCAAGAATAATGTATATTACCATTATTATTTCATGTAAATGTGGCAGATTTAGCCAGAATAATTTAAAGTGTGTGTGTATATAGACTGTAAATAAATTATATATTTAGCAAGCATATGTTGTAACAAATGTTATGATTATTGTATAATTAATATAGCAGTACATATACTTAATTGATATATAACTATAGCAGTACATATACTTAATTGATTATTTATCCTTTGCTATGAAGTGTCTTAAGTGTAACTTTTTCTTAATTTTTAATATAATATTCTGGTCTTTTTTTCATTATCGTATCTACCAGCATGAGCTAATAAACCTGCATTTAGAAGTCTAGGTGTTTTACAGCCAAACTGGCCGTTCGGGTTGTGCTGGGTGCGGTCTCTATGACGACAGTAGAGGTCAACTTATTTTTTTTCTAAAGGTTGTTTCTTTTTAAGCACAAATGCTCTTGGCTGCCCACAGTGGACTGACATTGTTCTAAAATGTCATGTGAAACACTCAGTGGCTCCGTTGTTTCTGTTGAAACCAGCGCCACTGCGGCATTTCCTGCGAACAGAGTTTAAGGTCCATAGTGATGAAACAAAGACAGGAAGTTGAACTCTCGGTGGAGAACAGGAATCCAGATCAGTACGTAAAGCCATAAAGCTGCAGTTTGGCCTGCGGGTTTAGCTCGTTTTGTGTTTGAAGTTTATGTACTGATTGAGGTTAGTATTTAAAGTTAGTCGAATCAAAAGAGAGTTGAGCTAAATTCAATTTTCTATACCTTCAATTTCTGGTGTAATTATTCATATAATTTACATTTACATTAGGTGTACATTGTATATCAATCAGTTAAAGTCTGTTTATTTCAGTTACAAAAACATGGCAAAAATGTAAAGGGTGGATGTTCTTTAATGCAGAACAAGGCTGTATGCAACAACTTTATCAAATTCAAATCATAATAGAATATCTCCTACCTAAAATACTAATGCGATTGAAAGTTTAGAATCTGTACTTTCCACACAATTTCTCAACGTGTTTCAAAGAGCTACGATTCAGAAATAATTCATATAAAATTACAGCATGCTTTTGTTGACCATAACTGTTGAACATCTCTCACACTAATTTCTCTGGGTGCCTCTATGGGATTTCTCATAGTATGTCAGTGCTAAGCCAGTGGCGATTCACATAGACTTTTATTGTTCTAGATTAAACAGACATTTGAAGCAAAAGACAGTTTTATCTGAATCTTGTAACAGACATTATACATCTGAGCTTGTATGTATGAGTTTACAGTGACTCAGTAAAGAGTCCTGACATAGAAATGAGCTGCTGTTTTCCATTTTCTAACAACTAACCAGAAACTGCTTAGACTATGACTCATATTCAGTCAGTGACGTATCTAGAACTTCCAGAAGCACTAGAGTGATGTTCTTTCTCACCAAGTACTGTAAATCAAAGCCTGATTGGTTGGTTCCTCTGTTACTTCCTAATTATGTTGGTTGTTAATCTAACGTGGAAGGCCTTCAGTGCAGCTTCTGTAGTCCTAACCAATGGGAGAGCAGCTTCTCTGTATCTGCTTAGATACCACATAGAAAACAATCCAGAATGGATAATTTTCCACTGGACATTTGAAGAATTTAATCCTTTTGTTTCTAAAACAATGAGAAGTGTTACTACAATACTTGAAGTGTATTAATACAACAAGAAGGATGATTCTGTTAAAAAAAATATTTATTGGGTTCCCCACTGCTAGAACATTAGTCTAAAGCTGTAATACCTCATTCAGAGATGCTCTGTACTGTAAATCTCATTACAGTGGTTTATCAGATGAAACACTGAAGACTTTAAGCAGGCTTGATTAGAGCCTCTAATCTTCACTGATTCAGTAGAGAATGAGTGTCTTTGTTCTCTGGTCTGAGTCTGTTGTATGTGTGTGGTTGGTGTGTTTCAGTGATCAGCTCTGAGCCCTAAAGTGGATAACGAGTTTAATCGGAGTTTAATTAGACGTGACATGAAATTAGAGACAAAACAGTGTCCTCAGTGCAGATCAGCGTGGTTTACCTGCTCCGTCAGACTGGACGCTGGAGATCAGCATTTCGGTCAAATTTAGCATTCAGTATTTGAATTTAAGTCATTATTCTAAAATGAAAGATAATTGTTCATCAGAGTTGTGTACGGTCAAATCAGATTGTAAATTGAGCGCACGCAAATTTCAACAGCAGTTTTATTATTCATCAGTTTCCTCTTTGACACATCTGTACAATCAAACTCGCATCTAATAGGAGTGTGTCAGTTTGAGCGTAAAGGTTTAATAATGTAAAAAAAAATGTTTGTGGTTAACAAATGTTGTACTAATAATAAGAATAAAAATGGGGAATAACATCAATAATAGTAACAATCTGAGCTCATGACAATCCGATACAAAAGTGGATGCGCTTACTTTACATGCACATTTTAATATAAACAAATGCAGCAGCTATTCTATAATCCATTTAAAGACATACTGCACTTTGCTTTTGTTTTATACTACTGTCTCCACCCACAAAACAAACAATACAAATCACATCTAGTGCCCATACACTGCAATAATACAGCGTTTAAATGTTCATTTGTATGACACATCATTGTACAGTCTTTAAAAAAACAAAAACAAAAAAAAACCACTTTTTTTTCACATTTTATTCTTTCCAGTGATTATAATTTTAACACTAACATTTGGACGGTAGGAGGAGCAGTGAGTGAAAACTCGTCAAACACAGCCATTGGCTCACAAGATGATGAATGCTGTTTTATTGAATCACTACTGAAACATCTGCATTAATGCTTCATGTAAATATGTAAATTATATGTAAATGAGGTCCTGATAGGCTAGTACTTCTGATTCTTTATTTGCTCTCAGATCTTCGCTGCTTTCAAGATTGTTTGAAGGTTTCACAGATCAGAGGCACAGCAGTTTGTACGTCATTAAAGGTGATCAAATCTGTGCTCCTTTTGCATGAGTTTGATAAATAAGGGCCAGTGTGTCCCGACTGTGTTTACACCTGGCTTTTCATACAGTCAAATTAAACCTAACCGTGATCTGATTACCAAAAACGTGTGTTGATTCAGAGTGTAAACAGCCTCTCTATGTTCTCTGGGCCTTGGTTATAACAAAAAATAACTAGCCTGATATTTTCTAGTAAAATAATATATAATTGATAATAGATCTATTTTAGTCTATATGCTTTTCGTTTTAACTGTTTTAATGAAAATCTTTTCAACCCAACATCTTTTGAGAACTACTTCTGTCATTATAATAAACCTTTCCACAAATGTGCGCCTCTGAGCTTCTGCTGATAACACTCCCTGCTGGAGAAACGTCAGACGGCAAGTGTTTTCCAAAGCCCCGTCCATGCGCTTTTTACCTTAAAAAACATGCCGTTTTCCATTGTTGGTGGTGTTTTCATAATTCAGCTAAACACCAGGACACTTAATCTGTACAGAAAATACTGTACACCAGCTGCAACAGTCAATTTGGGGCGAGCTGAAGTTCCAAAGTATGTTGGCAATAATTTGGATTCCATTCATGTAGCAGAGAGAATTAACAGTGGCAGTTTCTTAAGAATCCTCTCTCTCTCTCGAAACTTACTACTGGTGTGCGAGCTCACCCACTTTTTAAATTTCCCAACATATTCTGTTTAATGGTAATTTGGTCCTCTCTAAATCTCTCTCGGAGCCATCATGTAACTCTCCATCATCGACAATATCCAATTATATCACCTTTCGCCCAGGCCTAGTGTCCACCCTCAAAAATAAGGCCCTGAATACCTAAAACAAAACCTCGGGAAACCTGTGTTGTAGTGATGAAGGCCTTTATCTCTCTGATCTCTACGTCATGTGGTCTGTTTGTTTACATGGTTACTGTTCACATGAGAGATGCTGCAGGTGTTCTGACTCTAGTAACCGTGTTTGTGTTTCAGGTTGCGGGTGATATAAAGTCTGCGAAGCGCGAGCTGAAGAAGGCTCGCACCGTGCTGCAGATGGACGAGCTAAAGTGCAGGAAGCGCGTTCTGCGCCGCCTCGGATTCGCCACGTCCTCCGACGTCATCGAGATGAAGGGCCGGGTGGCCTGTGAGATCAGCAGGTGCGGCAGCCAATCATATCACTCCATATTAACATAATCAGCTCTTATTATCTGCTTTATTGATAATGAATGCAGAACAGCCCAGAGATGGAGTCAGATTTGACAATGTAGACTTGAGGATTTATTCCACAGATGATAGTTTTAAATAGAAATAATAACAGTGGTACTGGTTGTCGGGTAGTTGCGTAAGAGTGATCATTATTAGTGTAATCTTCATTCTTCAACCTTTGTTAATTATACTAAATTTATTTTGTCAGTATTATGAGCAACAGTACTTAGTATTTATGGATGCACTGTAATTTTGAGCTGATGTCAATATATGTTTTTTATATATACATTTTTTTGTTTTTGTACATATCTGCTGATCCATGAACTCTTAAAATGTGGATGCTATGAATAAAGTCCCTGGAATTAGCATTATAGAGAAATGTAACACTTCTAGTCATATGCAAAAGTTTGAGCGTTTTGTTGTTTTTCTAAGTGAAACGTTAACACACACTCCACATCAACTGAAATGACATTTTTTTCTTACAAATTTCAGAGAACACATTCTTTGCATTTGCTGATTAACATATTGGATGTTTAAAACATAAAATCTACGTTGTGCCATAACTTTTTCACAGGACACATTTTGGTTTATTTACACCCCAATATGTTAAATTCAGCAAATAAACAATAATTGTGCATTAAAATGTGCCGAAGCGTGTTCTGTGTCCACTTGTAATTGCACCTGGGGCGTAAAAACTTGTGTACAACTGCAGTAAAATTAATAAAATACGGATGCCGAATTTCAGTTTTCTACTGATAGCAATATGAATCACGCGTTCATATTATTACTATCGTTGTTGTTGTTGTTGTTGTTGTTGTTGTTGTCAACTTTAAATGTACTGTCTGGTCCACTGCTCCCTCTAAAAGCCTCTGAATGGACTGTAGATGAAGTGCAGCAGGTCAGTTTTGTGTTCTGTCTCTGAGGGTTAAATGGGCTCTGTGTCTTTTCTGAACTGTCCTTGTTTCTCTGTTTTTCAGTGCGGATGAGCTGCTCCTGACCGAGATGATTTTTAACGGGCTTTTTAACGATCTGACGGCAGAGCAGGCGACGGCTCTGCTGAGCTGCTTCGTCTTCCAGGAAAATGTAATTATGCGCATATTTCGTCAGTCTGTTTACATATCTGTGATAAATACGTAACTGCAGGGAGATTGTTATTGGTTGTTAATGGAGTTTCAGAGCCGCAGTGTTTATACGTTGACAGGGTGAGTTCAGGTCAGCACTGAGTAGAGAGTGAAGCCAAGACATTCCCCACACACGCACACGCGAGCACATTGGAGACTCACTGACTGAAGTGTGTGTGTGTGTGTGTGTCCCTCTACAATCAAACACACACGCTACCATGACCTAAATTGACTGTGTGTACGAGATCAGCTGACCTCTCTTTGTTCCTTGTGTTTCTGTCTGTACACGAAAGTGTGCCTGAAACTGAGAACTGAGAACATTCAGTGCAGTAAATAAGCTCATTCAATCTAATATGGAGGTGTGACTCCATATTTTGAGCTAGATTTTAATTTTTTGGGAAATCTAACGTTCTGTCTTTTGTCCTCTTAAGTTTTATACTCCAGCCTAAAGTCTAGTTAACATGGTGCTAGATAAATAGTGTGAATATGCAAATTACATATCACTGTCGTGAGCACCTCTCATCTCTGAAAAATGAAAAAATATTCTTGGTTCCAAGAAAGCCACAGAGAGCCTAACTGTCAGCTCAATGCTGGCCAACACTGGCGTCTGTTAGCAACAGCCTTAACAGTTAGTGTTCTCCTCCAAGCGTGTTGATCTCCAATAATTTTAGCAGTTTGTAAAAATGTGGTGGACCGTCCCGCGTCTCAGAGGAAGCTCATGTTGGCCTTCACCTTCCCAGCTTGGTAGCATCGTGTGATAAAGGGAGACCTAGCTTGGTGAAGTGTATGTGAGTAAAACTGGGGAGAAAAATTATGTGGAGATTTTACAGGGTTTCTGCTGACAGTGATGTTATGTTTCTGTAGGAGGCGGCTGGTTTCTGAGCTCATCTGTGCGGCACTGTGTGTTCTTGCTACTCAGCTCTGTATTTTTGTTTCGGGGTTGGGGACAGCTGTTTCAGCTCCTCAGTCAGCTGTCAGTTTGGACCCCACACTCCCACCACAGTGACCATAGATCACATCTCATCCTCCATTAGTAACCCAGAGTGCCGCAGTCTGTTCAGACTGGTGTCACTTTTGACATTTAAAGTAGGTGAAAGGTCGCAGCAGCTGCTCTGAAGAATTTCATCTTTTGTCTTCTCCTTTTTGAGTTCATGTAAAGCCTTATTTCTGAAAATATCTAATTTACCCAGTTTCATTTTTTTTTTTTTACCCTGAATGTAGTCGATCAGCCAGGACACGCTTGCTAACAAGTTAGAGGCTCGTACCCCACCAGTTAGCATGGTGCTAACTGCTAAATCATCTAACACTTGCCTCAAACTGTGTGGAGTTGTTCAGTATCTCTAACAGATTTGATTGTGTGGTTTCTCACACTGTATGTTAGTGAGTGATGGTTAAGGCAGCAGTTAGCACTGTGCTAATTGGTGGGGTGTAAGCTTTCATTACATATGAGCTACATTAGCCCTGTAGCTTCAGTGCTAAAACTAAAGAAGCTGAACTTCAGACACCAAAAATATCTTGACTGTTTGGGGGACAGCTGTAGTCTTTCTGCATGTTGATGTTCGGCTCTTCCTGCGTTTGGCTGACCGCTGTGTGACAGGTGCTGGAGAACCTCAAACAGCGCGGACACACACACACACACACACACACACACCACACACACACACACACACACACAGCTTTGCAGTTAATCTGCTCCCACTGAGGCCAGTTCATACAGCTGTCTGTGTTAAAGAACACGAATACATTTCATAGCTCTAACTCGTTTTTTTTTTCTTTTTAAATTCTCTCCCACTACTACTCTCTCTCTCCCTCCCATCTCTTCTTTCTTTGTCTCCCTCTTTTTCTCTCTTCCATTTTCTCTCTCCCTCCCTCTCTCTCTCTCTCTCTCTCTCTCTCTCTCTCTCTCTCTCTCTCTCTCTCTCTCTCTCTCTCTCTCTGCAGGCTAATGAGATGCCAAAGTTGACGGAGCAGTTAGCAGGTCCGCTGCGTCAGATGCAGGTAAACGGAGTTCAGGAGAGAGCAGAGTCACTCTAAGTCAGACTGGGTTCTGCACATTACACTCAGTTATCTATGTTTACTGAACACATTCAGGCGGCAGTCTGTGTTCTGTCAGCTCTCACTGGAGCAGCTGCTCATCTGTTTACAGTGCTCACTGAATAAATCATGTGGTGTAGAAGCCGTAGTTAATCTGTAGGATTTAACCCGTTAAACTGCAGTCATATTATTCGGTTATTAATCTAAAGCCTTAGAGCGTGTAATACCTCCACAAGCACAAATAACAGCTGTGATTCGATTTGGCTGGACTGGACAAGTTTCTGTATGTAGGCGACATCAATGTTTAGCCACTCCTGCATCAAAGAAATACGCAGTTCGGCTACATTTCGTGGATCCTTCCCTGGCGTCTTATTTGTTGATCCAGGTAGTCCCATAGATTTTCAGGAGGATTGAAATCTTGTTTTTACGGGCCAGTCCAGATGTGCGAATGCTCCTGAATGTCAATCATGCCAGTCACTTTCTAGCCCTGTGAATGTGAGAATTGCCATCTTGGAATACAGGGATAGGAATGTTATGTTCTTTGATAAGATGAGCAACAGGCAAAACCTGGCTGTCCAGCAGCTCAGTGTAGGCCAAAAGACCCATTTCTGCATAATTACAGCACTCCCAGAACATCACAGAGCTCCTCCAGCTTGAACCACACCTTGCATACTGTCCTCGTTGAAGGCTTTCTGAGGTCTACGATGAACACAACGCCAGCATCATTCACATACAAGCAGAAAGGAGATTCATCTGACCAGATAACACATTCCAGTAATGAACAGACCAGTTTTTGTCTCTCTTCATCCACTTTAACCGGGCAACTTTGTGAGCAGAAGTGGGCAAAGGCCTCTTGCGTGCCACCCTGCTCCATATGTTCATGGTGTGCAGTTCCCTGCAGTGTTCTTTCAGAAATTGGTTGTGAAGAACCCGCATTAACTAGTTGTCTAGAAGCAACTCTTGCCTGGAAGTGAAGCGATTTTTATTCACAAGCCATGAAACATGCCGGCGGTCCCTGTCCATCAGATTCGTCTTTCAGCCACGATTCTGATGAGAATTTCCTGTAGACTGGGATTTCTGCCACTGCTGGTCAACCGGTATGACTGTACGCTTTGATACACCTGCAAATTCAGCTACTTCTTTCACACTGTGGCCTTCGGCACACCCTAATACAATTACTCCTTTCTGCCAGTCATTAACATCTGCTTGGTAACCCATTTTCAGCACACAGAATGAGACATTCACTGCACTGTACCACCTCCTCTCAATCTATGAATTCCGTTGCACACCCCGTAGGTATTTATAGCCCGATCACCCTCATGCAACACCATCTGCAGGAGCCTGAAGTTACTACCACCCTAAACACGCAAGGCGATACATTTTTTGTCCGGGAGCTTAATCTGCAATTTCCGTAGTTTTAAGAGTGAGGAATCGACTCATATAGAGACCCTTAGAGTTTGAGGTTAAATAGACTGGCAGGAATTAGGTGGGTTTTTTTTTTTGTTTGTTTTTTTTTCCTCATCTCAACATAAAAGAGAACTGATCGCAGATCTCTAATTTTCTGGGGAGTTTGTGGAATACAGGCCCACTGCAGTGCTTTCCTCGCACTGATAAACCTGATTCAGTTTAATGATTAGTAGTTGTATTAGACAACCAAAGACAGACTTAAAGTTAGTCACCCAGGCGTGATGATCCCGTCTAATCTCACCTAATCTGATGTGGCTGTGTCTCAGGAATGTGCCAAGCGCATTGCCAAAGTTTCTGCTGAGGCGAAGTTGGAGGTGGATGAGGAAACTTACATGAACCAGTTCCGCCCACACCTGATGGACGTGGTTTACACCTGGGCCAATGGGGCGTCCTTCTCACAGATCTGCAAAATGACCGACGTCTTCGAAGGTAACTCTCGGCTTCAACTTAAAGAACTTTTTTTATTTTATTTTTTATTTATTTATTTATTTATTTTTTTTTAACTTCAAGCAGAAAGAAAGAAGGGAAAAAATGTGCACACATGCTGCCTGTTTTAAAGGGATAGTCCAGTTAAAAAAGCATGTAGCATAGTTTTGTCTATGTATATATTAAACAGCAGTGTTGTTTCCATCAACTTTTTACACATATTGCAAGCGATGAAATGAAAATTGAGAGGAAAAAAAGTTGATACTTGCTGCCCAGCAGCTTGTTTTCATCAGACTGATTTTTTGCAATAAAAATTTCTTTTTCAGTAATGTCATTTTCTGTGAAAAAGCTTCACTGACCCCCCCATAACCTACTGATAAGGACACTTATTCATTTTTTATTTGTTTATTTTTTCAAAAGTACTATTATACGAGGGATCCTGTGTCTCCTACATACAGAGCAGTTTTAGCTATTTTTATTTTAGAAATACTGTAGTCTTTCCTGTCTTCTCTCTCTCTCTATAAGAGCTAAAAAAGGGTGGGGCCCCTTTTTTAAAAAGTGCGCTCATCTTCTCGGGGCAGCTCTACGCAGTTCGGGTTTGTTGTGCGAGTCACATGAAAGAAATCTGTCATTTCTTTTTTAAAAATGAAGCTTTTAGCAGCAGTTCAGGAATTTAGCAACCCATTTTCCGCTATAGAAAACAACAAAAGTTTGTCAGCACTCAGTGAAAATGTATTCTGTGAACTCTGTTCATGGTGGAGGGATACATGCAGGGTGTTGTCTCCAAAGAGCAGCCATTTTTAAAGATTTATCACTAAACAATCCATATAAAACAGAGAAGACGTGTAGGTTCACCGGTGGTTTTGGATAGTAAATAAAATGTCTATATTTGTGTTGTAGTCCTGGTGATCCCTGGTTCCTATCACCACCACTGTAAAGTGCAAAAATGCAAAAATCCCCTTTAACATTACACAGTTTGAGGCGAGTGTGCCTGCAATGCGATTAGCACCATGCTGATTGGTGAGATATAGGCCTTCATGGCTTATCTACATTAGCCTCGTAGCTCTAGTGCCTAAACTAAAGAAGCAAACCTGAGACGCCTCATACATGTCTCAGCCGATGAACTATGTTTGGTTAGAGGAGGTTGTGTAAATTAGCTTTTTTGGCATACTGTCATTTTGAAGTGTTATGTTTTCATCAGCAGCTTTTTCCCCTGCAGTGATGTAAGTCTAAACTTGTCTCCCCCGTCTGTCAGCACGGCTGCCCCGAGAGTGCTGTGGGTATCCCACCAAACTGAAACGAGTGATAAATGAAAGCGGAGGGTGCTAAACCTGGAGGTGAAGAAGTGGAGGAGTTAGTTCTTGGCATGTTCTTCCACTCAGACTGTGGAATTCCGCTGCTCTCGCTGGCTCTCCTTGGCTGTTTCTGGCAAGCTAAGCTGAAAGAAAACATGCTGCCAAGAAAAGCACAAGTTTCGTAGAATTAAGCAGCTGTGATGGAAGTGGACGCTGCAGAGGGGGGGAGCGCTGAGGGCAGAATGACCAGATTTATTTGGTATTCTGCAATCAGCAGGGAGAGCTCTTATCACTCCACATGAAGGAGGAATATGAATTCTTTTCCCTTTTTATTCTCTCTTTCACTTGGAGGCCTCTTGCGCTTGTTGCCGGCTCATTAGGTATCTGTGCTTATCGGTCACTTTATCGGAAACACGGCTGGGTATCGTTACATTTTTCAGTACTGGTTAGAGAGGCAGGATTTATGACTCTTTGCTGTCTATCACAATTTGATATGACTGCATCAAAATCAACATCTTTAACTGCTTAATCCAGGTAGGGTTGCGGTTGCAATTGGGAAAGCAGAGAATCTCAGACGGCCCTGTCCCCTGCAACTTCCTCCAGCTCATTCTGGTGGACCCCGAGCCGCTCGCAGGCCAAAAATATAATCCCGCCAGTGGGTCCTAGGACGACCCCGGGGTCTCGTCCCAGTAGGTTGTGCCTGGTGGGAGGCGTCCAGGGGGCATCCTGAGCTGAGCTGTATAGAAGCAGTATGTACATTTTAGCAGCTTTTTCCAACAGATGGTAGTGTTTGGAACCAGGGCAAGGAGAGCGGGAGAGAGAGAAAAGAGGGCCATGAGACGTTTAATCTGTTCTGCACCTATGTCAGCAGCATTTGCTCCAAAATAGCAGCTTAAATGAGAGATTGTATATTAGAGGTGTAGCGATACACATGTTCAGATCTGATAGTTTTTGATTGTGTAATCAAGATTAAATTCGATTTTTTGATATGTATATGAAGTCTCATAAGAACCATGAGACGTCTGAACTGTGTACTCCAGCAGAGGGCAGCGTAAAAACCTGCGTCTTGCGTTTTATGTCGGAGTTTAACTGTTAAGTCTGAAGAAGAAAGAGTAGAAAGACTACTGAAGCTGGCTAAAGGCCACGGCAAACCAGACAAGAAGCTCCAATAAACATCCAGTTCTTTTTACACTCATCATATATCTTTAAAGGAATGAAACATTCAGCATCATTGGTCAGGTTTACATGCAGCATGCTAATTTGTTAATAATCCAACTAATTGACTAGCTCAAGTGTCAATTAGTTGGCACTTGAGCTAGTCAAGAACACATCTATGTATACACTTCAGTCAGAATAGATTAGTCCAATTAAGGCCATTCGGAACACACTTCCTATCCGATTAAACAAGGTGGTTGATCCTGTAAATAATCTGTTAAATAGAAGAGTAATAGCCGTATAAACACCTGTATCTGATTACATTCCCAATTGGAAAGTTTAAGTACGTTCTGTGGAAGTGTATCATGTCATAGCGAAAGTTTATAACGTTCAACATGGCGGGAGCAGAAACTGGTCTGCAGAGGAGACGAAGTTTAAGGGCTGAACTTTAGAAGACGGTGGTGGGGCGGGCGTCCAGCTTATGTGTCTCAGAACACGACGTCTTCCTCTCTGCTTTCTTTAATAAGTACATGTGAAGTACGTTTTCCTGAGTCTGACATCATTTTAAAGTAATTAAAAACACAAGCGCTGCTCACTGCTGCTCGTCTCACTCTGACTAGACTCATGATGGTAACGTGGTTCTCTATGTATGCACAAAATTTTGGATTGTATTACTTGTAGTGTGAATGTAAACAGATTTTCCATCAGATTGTTGAGTAGAGTGAACACAAACACCTCAGTCTTAATATATAATAGGAATGTATTCAATCAAATTGGCAATAGTTGCATGTAAACTCAGACAGTGACTAGCTCCGACTTCTGCTCTCTCACTCACGTTTTTTTCCTCATTTTCTCTTTCAGGCAGTATAATCCGCTGTATGCGGCGGCTGGAGGAGCTCCTGAGGCAGATGTGTCAGGCAGCCAAGGCTATTGGCAATACAGAGCTGGAGAATAAGTTTGCTCTTGGTACGGCTGCTCTTCTTTTCCTCTGATACAGTTTTATAACCTGTTATTTTATTGCCGAAGCAGTGTTAAAGACCCTCAGATATACAAGCTTTCCCTGCTGCTGTTTGGCTCACGCAAACACAGCAGCTTTCAGTCAGGTAGCTGACTTTTGATTATAACAATGTTTATAAAATAAGGCCCATTTTAGTGTCATAATGTGCAGCATTACAATGAGAAACATCATCCGTATAAAACCTGGATGTTTAATTGTAAAGTAAATGGATTTAAAAAAAAAAACTATTCATAGATGAAAGACAGTTTAACAGTTAGTTAAACTCAAAATTTGCATGATTTTCCACTTACCCTAAATGCAGAAGAGCTGCTAGGCTACGGTGCTAATAAACACTGGAAGTCAATAGTCACCCAAACAGTTTCCATAAATACATGCCTAGCGCTTCTCTCAGCCCACTCAAACCACATCCAGGTCTTCATGAAGGTCATGCAAACATGTCAGTATGGTTTAGAGCCCAGTATGACTCACTGTGAACTGCATAAACTACAAAAAAATGTAATTGGCTGTAGATTATAGAATATCCTGCTGGAGACCTTCCTTGTAATTGTGACACATACATAGAGACTTTGGGGTCATTCTCCATTTGGAGAAATTTTGTACAATTTTGTCCCAAAACTAAATTATCTTAATGTCTATTAACATCTCCTATTATCATATATGCAAAAAGGAGAGCTTAATTCCAAACATAGTTTTGAGTCACTGGTGTTGTATGAATGTGGTGTAACACCAGTGACTGTGACTGCAGTGACATTCTGGTTAAAACTGAGGATTTTGTAATTTTGACTCATTGGTGGTCAGGTGATCACGTGTAACTATTTCAAGTCAGTAATACAAATGATATTTGACATTATTGTGACAATTTTCATTACCCAGCCATTAAAGCACATAACACTGGTGACGCAGAGGTTATCTGCTGCCTGATAAACAAATTTATTCAAATTAATGAAATATAGTGAGAAGTGTGAACTCGCCTTCTCATGCCTTGAGATGCTTCCTTTGTGTGGCCCTCGTCCCAAAGAAGCAGATTAATAGAGCTGAAAATACTGTGTTAAAATGTAACATAAGAGTCCTGACAACACCAGTGACCAAAATCTGTGACAAATGAATTTTCTAAATAAAATACATATTTTTAAAATGTAGTATATGTTACGTTAATGATATACAAAAAATAATCATGAATCTGTTTTATACAAATTTGGATGTAATTTGGAAGAAACAAAGATTTTGGCATGTATTTGTGGGGATGGTTTGGGTAAAAATTGACTTGGTGTTTAGCATAGTTAGCCTGGCAGCACTTTGTATGACAGCAGTGTATGAAAGGTGCTTTATAAATAAACATGCCTTGCCCTCCCTACCACTAGGTACATGATGCAGTACAGCGAAATGTGACCTTTCAGCTGATGTGTATGAAATCTGAAAGCGGCTCAGAGAAAGATGGTGCTTTGTGATCTTCGCCTTGCAAAATAAGCTTGGAAAGTCCTGTAAATCTGATTTTTCCCTCTTCTTTCCTCTTGTCTCGCCAGGTATAACGAAGATCAAGAGAGATATCGTGTTTGCTGCCAGTCTTTACCTGTAAAGGAGGACTCTTCACTGCACATCTGTTGGTTTATGCTGGACCCATATTGTGTTTGTTTAGCTCATTTTGCAGAATGACAAATGGAGACAAGAGTGACTCAGACTGTTTTGTGTTCAAGCATAATGGGTTCTTTATTTTTTTGTACATACTCTTTTAACATAATTTTTTAATTAAAAAAAGTCTGTATAGTGATTATTCTCATCATACAAATAAAAAAGGAGCTTTTTTTTCCATTTTCAGAGAAGTAGAGGTTAGCATTGGGGTCATACACAGGAAGCAGTGGTAGCAGCATTAGCGGCCCGGGCAAGGCATCATGGGACATCATCCATAAGGAGCTGAGTCATAAACACACAAACACACACAGCTCTGCAGTAAGCAGGGGGTCTACATTCACAGGTTTCCAACCCAGTGGTCCGCCCTTTAGTAGGTACATGCCAAAAAAAAAAACGTCACGACGAAGGGTCCGAGCAGCTTCAGTTGGGGCTGTCGTAGTGATTTCCATTGGTGGGGGTCTCCTGCAGGGTGGTATGTGGGATAGCAGCTTCTTTCTGCGGTTCCACTGGCTTCTTGAAGAAATCTGACACGAAGAACACCTGTTGGGGAGACGGACAGGTGACGACACCCGCTGACACAAGCAGCTGCACTCATCTTGTTTTGCTCCTTAAACTGTTAACCCAGCTGATCAATTGACATGTTTGCAGAGTAGTTCAGAATTGAAGGAGTGAGGCTAATGTTGCTAGTTCAGTAGTCACCCAAATAATTTCTGTAAAAATGTATTTCTTTACTTTAGAACTGGAGCTATGAGGCTAACAAACACAACACAGTGGTCACCCTGATAGTCCACTTCCCTCAATCCACTCAAACAGCATCCAGCTCTTCATTAAGCTCAAAGAGCTGGCTGTTTGAGTGGATTGAGAGAAGTGGACTATCTTGGTGACTACTTTGTTGTGTTGAGTTCCCCTTTAATGTCAAACCCTAGGCGTATTCAGTTATTAATCCAAAGACAACCTATTCAGTAACTTATAAATTTGAGTATATTCGATATCGATGCTGTTGTGCAAAATCCTTATCTCAAATATTTCTTACCCCTTGCATTGTTAAAAATCTATAATGAGCTGACCAAAATAAATGGTCCAAAATTGCTTGGAAATAAATCTTGTTACATTTAACTTTCATTATAAGTTAAGAAAATTTATTTCTCAAGTTAACATTTTGAAGATACAAGGTTTTGTTGCGACAGCAGTGATACATGGAGCAGACAGTGGCTCTTATGTTTTAAAACAATGTTTACATGCTACTAGGGGCAGGTGATATGGAAAACATATATAAAAGAGATTTTCACAAAACTTACGATACTTTGACACTACATGTGGTGTGCTAGTACACTGAAAAATATGACTTCTAGTAACAAGCAATTGAACTAGTTTTTTAAAAAAAAATGAAATATTTAAGTTTAGCCATTTTTAGTGTAGTTAAATTAGTTTTTTTTTAATAATAATAATAATAATAATTATTATTATTCAACATTTCACCTCCTGCGCTGCACTAAAGCTGGTCAGTGATTAAGTACTGATATCCACAGTACTTAATAAAAATAAAATAAATTGATAAAATCCTGTGATGCTGCCCACCTCCACACCACTTCAAACTCTTATTTCAAAGAGAATCCAATTTTCTATGATTTAAGACTTCGACCTAAACATCACAGAAACTCCTTAAAGCAGGTCTGAGCATAATGCAGGGCTCCCTGTGCTGAAAATGCATGGCTGCAGGTGAATTCACCAACAGTAACAGTTAACAGTAAATGTTGCATTTTGCAAAGACTGTGCTGCTGTTTAAAGAGACAGTATAAAGGAAAAAATGCTTCTGATCGTTAAATAACTAACAAAAAAGTTATTTACCATTTACATGATGTTAGTACTCATGTGCTGGGGAGTCATTATTAGCAGAGACACTATTTTAAGTCCAGAATTCCTCTAAAGCATTTTTTTCTCCATTTATATTTGGGTGTTCAGTGTATATTTTAAAACTATTCTTAATCGTACAGTGGCTGACAAGACCCAAACTCCTCAAACACTTAACATGACTACATTTGAACTGCACTTTACAAACAACCACATCTTGAGAAATGCTGCAAAGCTAGTCACAACAAGAAATATTTTAGAAGACTCTGAAAGGGGCTGGAACATCTGTGATGGAAAATGACTGACAGACTGCAGAGACACTCATTCCAGCAAGTTGAGGGTTAGCTTGGCTGGCAGGTTAGCTTGGCTGGCTAGTTAGCTGTCTGACATGCCAGAGCTGCACTACAGTATTTATCAGGTACATCTGCTATTGCAGTTTGAAGTTCTACAGTTAATTTTCATTACAATACACTGATATTAGTTATTTATCTTCTCAAATAAAGGCACAGCTTTGTTCTCTTTGAGTGTCTCTTTGAAACATTTCCATTGTGTTGTGACTGACTGCAGCGTTTCTGAAGGTCCATGTGTTTCTTTATTTGCACTACTGAAATGAAGCGCTCGTCTCGTCATTCTGATGAAATTTTGATTAGAGTTTTCTGAGTTTGCAGAGAGGTTTCCAGCTTGTTTTTTATTTTGCAGTGTTGGCACTCATTGGCCACCGTAGGAATCGCTATGAAATTTCACACTTCATAATGCACTGAATCATTTACTTAAAGAACTGTAACTGAATCATATTGATCTAAGACCCCGTTTACAGCTGATCACTTCATGCGTGAGGCCAAGCCACATAAAAATGCAAGTGTAAACGCAGCCAAGACGCAATAAAAACAGATACAAATCTGATCACTTAAACCACTTCAGGAGGTGGACTGAGACGCATTTGAGCCAACACATCTGTCTTTCTAAGACACATTCGACAACCAAAACCCTCTGGTATAACTCAAACTCCTCCCCATGCAGTACGTCACCAGGTGCAAGATACATGTCTGCGAGGAAGCTAAACATGGAGGACACACATGGTAGGTGACCGGATCAAGTGAACTGCTTAATAGCAACATGGACAGACACTACTGTACAAAACAAACTGCACATAAAGAGGCTAACCAGATAAACTGTTGGTTGCCGCATAAGGAGTAGGTTTGCATATTCAATCCCACAGCAGTCGGACTTCAGTCTGAAGTAACACACAGACACATTTGACTACCAAGTGTTTATGCATGAGGCTTATCAGGATACAATCCAGATACTAGACATGTGAAGTGACCAGGTGTAAACAGGGTCAAACTATCTTATGAGACTGGAGATATGCGCTTGTACTCACCACCACTATGGCCATGATTGCCCCCTGAATGAGGCCTGTGAGGACGTCACTCCAGTGGTGTTTGTAGTCAGACACACGGGACAGTCCTGTGTAGACAGAGGCAGCGATCAGGAAGAACTGGATTGTGGGTCGCAGGAGCCTGGCCCATTCAGCCTGCATGCGAGCCTGGAGATAAAGCTGGAGAGAGAAAAGAAAAACATAAAGGCACGTATGACACCATAATAAGTTACTACTAGTGTTACTGAAGATATTTCTGTAGGATTACTGTAAGAATCTTACAGTAAATTCAGTTTATTATATAATGTGCTACAGATTACTGTAAAACTGCATTACAGGAATATACATTGGCGCAAGTGCTGTATGTCACTACACAAGCACTATACAGCACTATAGCAGTAATTTAGTTTCTTAATGTATTATTACAGTTCTTGTTTGTGAGGGAAAACAGTAAACTCTAAAACATGATTTAGCAGTTTAAGGGCTTCAAACTGCATAGCTTAGGGTGAACAATAAGGCACAAATGTAACATCACGATACTTGAAGACTTTTTTTATGTTATAGTCTAGTCGTTATAGACTATAGACTGTTTATCTGAAGTGTGAAAACAAGTTGGGATGGATAAAATGCACCAGCGACACAGCAGGGTCACATTTAAAAAGGCTCAAACACGTGAAAAAACGTCAATGATCATTTATTTATTAGAAAACAGTAACACTATTTCAAGGTCACCTAGAGAGGCTCCGTAACATAATGCACAAGCACTGAATAACATTTCTAAAAGGAATACTTGAGTATTTATGAACACTTATGATCAGGATTCACAAGCTGACATCAGATATGTTGTACCTGTCGCACCTTTGAGGGAACATTTACATTGTTTGTACTTTGATTAATGAAAAATGTACCTGAACAGCACCTTTATTTCTAACAGTGTACAGTGATGTACATCATAAAACTGTTATGAACTGTTATGAAACGACATATCAGTGCTTGTGCATGTGTCATGAAGTCCACCCTGGCAGCCTAAATAAATACATAAATAAAGTGTTACCGTAAAAATAAATTAAGCTCAACTCAAACTAGAAAAATTACTGAATATGAAGATGTCATAACAGCTGGACATACAATCAGCTACTTGCTGCCTCAGCAGTTTATGTTCTTGTTTAGAAGTGTTTTTTAAGATCCATGCAGCTGTTCAGTGTTCTAGAAGTACTGATACTTGTCATACTCGTCATGAACCCTGAAAAAAAGAGCACTCTGACGCAATTCATCACAATAATGATAAATCAGACAACCTTTACACTCCAGTGACTGCGAAAAAAGGAGGTAAACGCCCCGTTCCTCAGGCTGGGAGAGGCACAGCTGCTAATTTTGTGCTGGTAACAGCTTATTGTCAGAAGTTGACGATTACAAACTGGTTTCTCCTGCTGTGAAGAGCTCTTTATTTACACGCCTGAACCTGAGCGTTTCCTGGTCATTTGTGGCTTAATGTAAATAATGTGTGATGGTTTGCATTATGGATTTGGATGCTGTTAAAAGTGCTGTTTGTTTGCATCATCAAAACCATCAGCTATAAGGTGACCTCACGTTCACTATTGGCTACTGTGGTAAAGCTACAGGAAACTCCTTTTACATTAAAGCAGCGTTTTTCAGCCTCATCTCTAGCTGCTTCATCTGCACTGTATGATTGATTACCACAGACAATCATTTCAACATGTTTCCCTTAAAAAAGAACAGAAAACCTGCTGTACTGAAAACATGCCTGGCTACACTGTCAGGAAAGTCTTAAGTCAGTGCAACTGAAAATATATAACTGCAAACCTGCTGACCCAAAACGTACCTATAATAGAAGCCGTTGGGCAGTTGCGTCATTACCTGCCCTTTAACTTTAATTATGCTGCACAGACCAGTGTCACAAGTTTCTCATTGTAGTGGGTCGTCAATAATAATAACAATAATAATAACAGTTCACTGTACACTCATCACAGAAGAATACTAACTGAAACATTTCTTTCCAGGCTGGTTTTTCTTCCTCTACAACTTAATCATTAATGCAAATCACGCTGTGTA